ATCAAACACAATAATGCATACAAACATGACTGCTCTGTCCCAGTTGACTTTGTTTTGGGAAAGCAGGTGTGGCTAACTCACTTTTCTGATGGTTTCTAGACTTCAAATGCTTACCTTCAACCAAGGAACTGGGGTAAACATGACTGAATGACAACAGTTTATGTAAAGGTTTCATGGGTATCTATAAAAGCTATAAAAAGTGAGATAACAGTTCTGTACACATTCTACACACTCATCTCCTTTCACCAATGAACCCAAGATTTTATACACAAGCAACTTTGGGAGAGGTAATATGTTCATTTTAATTTCCAATGAGTGTGAGCACTCCATGTCAGTTCTAAACTTCTAAGCAAGTTGTTTTAATACTAGAAGAAATACATGCAACAACTGATGGAGTTGTACTCCCAAATGAACACCGGCCCATACCAAAAAGCTTGAGCTACAAGAAAGCTGTTGGAGCCCTTGTAGTCTTATACGTTAGTAAAGATAGACAACAGTAGAAATTAAGCCTTGTATCATAACAGGATGAGTACTACCGGGGAGGGAAGGAAGCAGAAAAAGAGTAAGAGGGACAGGGCATACTAGATCAAGGTGGAGTTGTAGTATTGAGCTGGGTAGTCAAGATAAATTTCATCTGTAAAAGGCTATGTTGGAGAAAGTCTAGGGTGAGGCAATGACGTAGACAGATCTCTGAGACAGTTGATCATCAGAGGATACAGTCAATGCAAAGGTTAGGGGGCAGATGGTTCTCAAATGAATAGCAAGTAGGCCAATTTTAGGAGTTAGCAAGATGAAATAAAGTACTGAGATGTTGTAAGAGATAATCTTAGGGGACCAGAAAATTGGCAAGCATTGAGGGAATCAAACAGGCTAAGTGATGAGATTTTTTTTTGGTTTTATGAGACAGGGTTTCTCTGTATTGTTTTGGAGGCTGTCGGTCCAGCCCGGCCTCGAACTCACAGAGATCCGCCTGCCTCTGCCTCCCGAGTGCTGGGATTAAAGGCATGCACCACCGCCTCCTGGCAGTGATGAGATTTGATTTATGTTTTGTTCATTAATTCATCCAGTGGTTCCTAGGGTATAACCTAAGACCTTCTGCATACCAGACAAGCACTCTACCACCAAGCTGCATCCCATATCAGCCTTGGATTTTTGTAACAGATTCTTACAGACTAGTATGGCCTAGAACACTCAATGTAGCCCAAGCTGATGTTGAACTTGTGAGAGATAACTCCAGTTTAGACCAATAAGTGGCAGCAGAGGTACTGAAAAGTGATGTGGGATAATGTTCTTGTTCACTGTAAAAATTTGCCACTTATATTGGTTTAATAAAATGCTGATTGGCCAGTAGCCAGCAAGAAGTATAGGTGGGGCTACCAGACTAGTAGGATTCTGGGAAGAGGAAAAGCAGAGATGCAGTCGCCAGCCAGATGCAGAGAAAGCAAGATGAAAATGCCTTACTGAGAAAAGGTGCCAAGCCATGTGGCTAATCATAGATAAGAATTATGGGTAAATTTAAGTTAAGTTGTAAGAGCTTGTTAGTAATAAGCCTGAGCAATTAGGCCAACAGTTTATAATTAATATAAGCCTCTGGGTGTTTATTTGGGACTAAATAGCTGCAGGATAGGGCAGGCCAGAAACATCCATCTGCAGAGATGGGGTCAAATTTTTGACACATTTAGAAGCTAGTGCTAGACATGGTTCATGAAGGATGGAGCAATGAGTTTGTAAGGAAGAGTAATAAACAAGTAGCCCAGCTTGGTTGGTCTGTTATTAACTGAGGAGGGGAAGACTATAGGAGGAGATAGTTGGAGGGATTAACCAGGAAGTCTGCTTTCAACATATTAAAACTGACATTCTATTAGATGTCCCAAATAGAGGTGGACACATTAACAAAAGAAAATGAGTCTCTGGAATCCAGGGGGGTCTTGTCTAAAACCTGAAATAATCATATTTAAAATAATAAGTTAGAGCCAGATGATTCTTCCTGGTAGCTAGCATTCGTAGTGATGGAAGATGCTATGTAGGCTGCTGCAGGAGAAAGCCATCTGCAGTCTTACCCAGATGTGGATCCATATTCTTATAATACGAACCTTCTATGCAGCATATGCCCACTGGTACAAGAATGACAAGACTGTGAGGTCACCAACTACTCATCTTGCTTTGAGGCCCAACTCCATGGGAAGAAATACATGCCTGCAAATATAAACCTGGGGAGATCACTAGTGGAGAGTCTACTATTGTTTTGCTAAATGGGCAGGTAGCTAAACTGTGCTCTAAATATTTGTGTTTATACCCATAAATTAATGCTTCTCTTAGTCAGGGTCAGAGAAGCTTCTTATTGTAGTGTGAGACGGTTAATGTAGAGATTCATCATAATTGCTCAAAGTGCTGAGAATAAATAACTCAGCTCTGAATGGGACAGGTATGGTCTGACTACCCTTTCCAAGAACCAAAGAACAGCCCAAAAGAGGAGCCAAAAAGATTATGAGAGTTGGAGGATGGAGAGGAGTACTATGAAACCCTGTCTTTTGGATGTGGCATAGCTGCTGCAATCATGAACGCACAGCAGCTGTGACCCCCTACACATAAAGAAAAGTAGAGGGGGACCTAGTTGGAATGAAGATGGGGCAGCAAGAGTTGGGGAAGAGAGGGAAGTGGGTGTGATTAAATACATTGCGTATAAAAGTATCAAAAAGTTTAAAAATAAAACAGATGTCTAACAGATTTGTTTGAGACAGGGTCTCACTATGTAGCCCTGTAGCTCTGGCTGGCCTGGAACTGCTATGTAGACCAAGCTGTCCTTAAAACCTCACTGAGATCCACCTTTCTCCTGCCTCCTATGTGCTGAACATAGCAAACAATAGAGGCCAGACACTAACCTGAAAGATACTCTCTCTCTCTCTCTCTCTCTCTCTCTCTCTCTCTCTCTCTCTCTCTCTCTCTCTCTCTCTCTCTCTCTCTCTCTCTCCTCTCCCTCTCCCTCTCCCTCTCCCTCTCCCTCTCCCTCTCCCTCTCCCTCCCCTTCCCCCTCTCTCCCTCTCTTCTCCCTACTCTCTCTTCTCCCTCTTTCCCCTCTCCCTGTCCCTTTGTCTACTTCAATTGTAGCAGGTTTGATACCATAAGTGTAAGAGAACAAGATTCTTCATGTCACAAAGTCAAATCCCATGCTGTGTCCCTTGAGCTGTTGCTTGCTAAGGGCTTGCACCAACAAGCTTTCCAGAAAGAAATGCCAAGGATCTCAACCGCCAAAGGAGATAATAAAGACTATAATTTGAGTAAATTAAATCATGCAACTGGAATCAAAAGTTAGCAGTTAACTGAAGCCATGGAAAATACAGAGCCAAAGAAAGTTTCAGGAGACTTACCAAGGGAAGAGAATTAAAAGAAGAAGGAAATAAATCTGACTGTGGCATTTTAACCTAGAGGAAACCACTCCTCCCTGCTGTCTTTGAGTTTTAAGCCCCAAGGGGGTTTTGAAATCCCAGAAGATTGTAGCCAGGTTTTTCCATGGTTTTACCACCCTTTCCTTCTCCTCCTTTAAACTATTCTTACTCAAATCTATCTACCGTGTTGCCATATATAAGCCATGAAGGAAGCATGGAAAGATGTACAGAATTAAATCACTTTACCAGGTCATTAGTTTTATGCTGTGTTTTCTGTCATGTCTACAGCCCCTACCAGAATGATCAGCACATAGCAGACTCTCCATGTGATTTGATCCACTCAAAGAACAACAGTGATATTAATCCTACCTCTGCTTAAAAGAATTCTCACTGGAAAGTAAGGGACTTTAGTCTCCATTGCCCAAATAAGGCATCATCATATGACGATATCATGCACATTCACAGACACATTAACATGCCCACCAAATCATTAACTAATACAGCACATCAATGCATAATGAAAGGATAATTTTCTTGCACCCTGCAGCTGAGTCTAAAATATGCCATCAGAGGGGCTGGAGATACAGCTCACTGACTGCTCCAGCTCACTGGAGGGCCCAGGCTTGATTCCCAGTACCCTCATGCTGACTCTCGACTGTCTGTAGCTCTAGTCCCTTTTCTGACCTCTGAAGGTACTGTATGTGCTGCACAGATACACACTCAGGCAAAAACACACAAACACATAAACTAATAAGTAATATATTCTTAAATACTGTTAGATTTATTATACATGGACAGCCCTTATGCACCAGAGAAAATAGTGGAATGGAAAAAGCTAAAATACCAAGATGTAGTCATTACCAATAAAAACTTTTTCTTTGTGATATTGATGCAGCATACATTAGCAAAAGCAATCTTATTCCCATTTTTAGACTAATTTCTTTGTCATAAATTAACTCATTTTTCCATGGGCAAAGGCATGTCCCACTAGAACTTCTGTTGGTCTTTGAATTCCTTCAGTCTTCTGATAGCAGGCTTGACTACGGCAGTGGAAGACGTATTGTAGGTGCAGGTCCCACCAGCCACTGTTTTCATGCAGGAACCACAGAACCAGGCACCCACCATTTGTTTATTTCTTTAGCTAAGTTTGGCTTCAAAAGAGGCAAGTGGGCTTGGCCTGTTGACTGATTGCAATTTTTAACTATTTTCAGAGGGAGGCATCATATTGGGTCCCATTTTTACTGACAATTCCAAACTTCTTTCTGGTCTTAACAAAACGTGGCTATGTGCACCTTTGGGGTTGTATTTTTTTTTTCTCGGGCCTCCCTTTGTCCAAGCATCGGGCTGAAGTTTTCATTGCTAATTTTCTGTACTCTTGGAATTACCTAATGATTTCCTGATTCTGGCTCCTGTGAGAGAAGTCAGCGTCAGAAGTAGGGTTTCACCAAGATATTTTCTTGTCCTTTCCAGCACAAAGCTCTAGAAACAAAGGCAGGGTTATCACATGTCCCCAAGAGCTGCCTGGGAAAAGCCAGAGCTGAAGTTATCGGTGTTGGAGCCTGTCTGAAATATGCTTTTGTCTCCGTGTCCATTGCATTCAATCACATCAACAAGTGTTGGCTAAGTGTTGAGCGTGGTTTCCTGTGGGATTGTGTAAGGCCCTGCAGGACAATAAGTGCTTTGGGGGCACTGCGTCGTGTAGCCGTTTCTGACCCAACAGCCAGAAAAAATGTGAGACAATCCGCTGCCGCTGGAGAGAGGACAGCTGAGGCTGAGTTCTTGCAGGAGCAGCTTTGCTTCACCGAGGTGGACCCCAGAGGGACGAAGAAGCCTAAAATGGTGCGTTGAAGTAGCTGCCAGTTATGCAGTGTCATAGCCTCCAGAAGGATAGGTTCAGGCCTAGGTGTTGTGTGGCTGGCGTTTTTAAATTTTGGAAAACCTGTCACAGTAAAAATAGTAATAATAATAACTACAAAATTATTAAAACAGAGTTAGTGGGCTTCCCCTGGGACCTGAAAGTAAGCTTGTAATTTGGGGACCAGAAGCTTAAACTACTATTGTTTCTCTGTGTATTTTTCACCTTTTTCAAAATCTCACTCAGAGAGTCTCCTGATTGGGTACATCACTAGTTGGATGTAGCTTTGAGCTGTTTCCTCTACTGATTTTTTTCCACACTTTTCTTTCTGCGCTGCTCTTGTGTGGCTTTTCACAGTCTTTATAACTACTCGGGAAAAGACAGGCCTTTTTTTAAAAAAAAAACTATACCTTCTTTTCTTTATATTTCCCTCATGTTCTTTCAGCTAAATCCGGCATCAAGAATGCTAATTGTGGAAATAGATATGTGGGAGGTAAATTGTCCATTTTGTCCCACAAGCATAGAATTTAAAGGTTCTCGTTAGCTGCCACGATTTCAGTGGACTTCAAAACAGTACGAATAAACGGTGGCTGTGTCGGTGCACCTTACACTCTGCTGTGCTAATGAATCATCAGTGCGGATTGTGTTTTAGGTCTGGGGTGGAAACAGAACCAGCTGTGCCTTTTACATTTGTGATTCACTCTTTGGTAATTTTATACACGTATGCAAAGTATTTTGATCAAGTATTTATTTAGTTCAGCCCCCACTACCCTCTCTTAGTCCCCTCTCACTCCCTCTGAAGCCTTTCTTCTGAACAAGAATTCTTCCTGTGTTCATGCCATTTTATTGGGACCCATTGGGTTCCATCTTAGCTGGCATGAGTGTGAACATGGGGGTATTTACTACAGCAGCTACTTGCCAGTGAAGAGCCTGCTTTCTAAGCAGTTCCAGGAGGTATCATTGCTCATGTACCAATGGACCACCCTTAGAGTCACTCAAATACGCATTTCGGTGTTTACGGTAGTGCAAATGTATCACCCATTGGGGCCGATTGAACCTGATTTGAAGGTAACTAGTCCCTCTATAGAGCCTGTAGCAAACCTAAGGAAATGCTGCTTGTTGACTTGAGAATATATAAGGATCTAGGGATGGGGCATAAGAAAGGAAAATTTTTCCTTGAGGAACATATCATTGTCTTCAGTCTTTCTGACATTGCACTGCCATATTCTCATGACTTCTCAAAACCTTTCAAGGCAGTTAGTGTTTTTACTACTTTTACAGATGGGGAAGCTGAGGTTTAGCAGGGTTAGGTAATATGTCAGGTTGCACAGAGACACATCAAGGATTTGAACCCATCTACATGTGATGATTTTGCCTGTGCCACTGCATATCTAGACAGTAACAAATGCTAAACCAATGCTAACTGATAGTTTTACCACTTTTGACTTTTCTCCTGATGAAGATGCCCAGAGGGAGTTCCCCTGAGCAGGGGAGGAGGGGAATAAAAAGAAGAGGTTGCTCAAAATAAAAAAGGCAGCTAAGAAATGTTCTACAAGGCACAGAAGATGAATCTCACACGCAAAGCAAATGATCTCCAACAGAAATAGCACTGGAAATTCTCTCTTCATGAGAATAAAATCTGCCTTAGATGCCTTGTTTTCATAAGCTTATCTCAGAGCAGTTAAAGCATGGTTTTTCAAAATGCTGAGGTTGTGAGTGTTGACATTACTGTTTCTGTCTATCTCGAGCCAAGATCAACTGTAACTCTCTGACCTACACAGTACCATGTGAAATAGGGACTTGAGTTCTGTGGAGCTGAGAGCCAGCCCCACAAGCTGTTTGACCACTCTCCCTGATTCGGGATTATACTTCTTGATCTTGCTTCAACTTGCCATTGGATTGCATTCAGTCGTTTAGCAGAAAAATAAGCAGGACCTTCGGCAAATATTTGACTATTAAAGGTGTCACAGGGGTGTCGAGTTTCTCTTTCAAAGCGCTGCCCAATTTTTATTTGTAGTGCCTTCCTCCTCCTGCCTACTCCCCTTTCCCAGCTGCCTATCCAATACATTTATCACTTTACTATCTTAGCACCAACCAATCAATCAAAATTAATAGCTAAATTACATGTAGAAGAAGACAAGGAACCATGTAAAGGGTAAGGAACTGCTGCCTTGGGCCTCTATTGTAAGGAACAAAGCCTTAAAAACACCATCTTGAACCACTCAGGAAATAGTTTTCCTTCAACAGAGATGTTTGCAGGGCCCATTTAAATGCATCTCATCTTTTCAGGTCCTCTCCTCCTCTCCTTCACTACTTGCCATTTACTCACACTTTTAAGGCTGCATGGTTTTACCAGCATTCAAAATGTGGGTTATAATTCTTCTGTAGATTCTGTGTTTCTGGAGCTGAGGATGAAAACCAGGGCTTGTACATGATGGACAAGTGTTCTTTCCATCCATACTGTACACTGGTCTAGAGTTTTACTATGCAACACTGCTCCGAGGGGTCCTGCTGAACAATTATTTCCATTACATCTTTCTGAGAGTTCTCTGGAAAGGTCCCTTGCACCACCAATTTCATTAGACCAATATTTATGTCTATTTCCCTCAACAGTGTGCCTTATTAAGGTTGCAATAGCTATGGTTAAATTAACCCCTCTCCTCTCGTGTGTGTGTGTGTGTGTGTGTGTGTGTGTGTGTGTGTCTGGGTCTGGGTCTGGGTCTTGGGTCTCTGTGTCTGTCTGTCTCAGTCTATCCCTCTGTTCCCCACTCTCTGAGACAGTATCTCACTGTGTAGCCTTTGCTGACCTGGGGCTCAGTATGTAGACCAGGCTGGCCTGGAATTCACAGAGATCCTCCTGTCTCTCCTTCCTGAATACTGGAATTAAGACATGTGCCACCGTGCCCAATTATTTCAGAATATGTCCACTGCCATGGTATGAACATGTCTAAGACAGGACAGCAGAATCTAGCTCCCTGGCTGTCGGATCACTGGGTTATAGTTTGAGCAAAGTTGCTTAGGATGTTACAGCTCAGTATTTCATTAGTAAAAATGATTCTGAGGGCTATTCTAAGCTTTCACACCCTGTAGCTGCTTTCTTGTGTTTAAGTTAGCATCCTCTCAGGTATACATCACACAATGACTGTGTTCTTTTCTGTCACTGATAGCCTCATCAAGAATGTGGACTGTGGAGCTAAGTAACAAGAAATCAAATCCCATGTCCAATACATTAGCAGTGGGAGTTGGTGTTCCATGTAGTTCAGAGAATGATTTCCAATAGCTGCATTTTCAATTTCAAATGAGTGTGTTTATTAAGAATTTAGCAAACAGAAGTAAAAAAAGAAATAGACAGTAGGAGATAGACAGAAGCAAAGCATAGATAACTAACAAAACATCAGCAAGCCAGGGTTTTATAACAACCAACAGGGACAAATGGAGTAGCCCAGTTGAGAGAGCAAACAAAGGTGACACTATCAAAGACTTAACAACATCTAGCAAAGATCGGTTGGAGTTTCCGATTGGGAGTCTTTCCATCAGTGAACTTCTGGCTTCCCATTCCCACTGCAGGCATTTTTAAACCTTAGGATAAACAGTAGTAACCTCTTTTGGAAATGGTTTATCTTTTAGCTATTCTCTAGGTCACAAGGTTTTTTGTTTGTTTGTTTGGTTGGTTGGTTGGTTTGTTTGGTATTTTAGAGACAGGGTTTCTCCATATAGCCCTATCTGTCCTGGAACTCACTCTGTAGACCAGGCTGGTCTTGAACTCAGAGATCCACCTGCCTCTGCCTCTCGAAGGCTGGGATTAAAGGCTTATGTCAATACCCTTTGTTCCCTCTTTCTGTTGCAAAGTCAGGGAGCCAGCCTGACCTAGGACATGGAGTTTGGAGGACAATTAACAAAACATGCTTGAATAGAAGACAGAGGGGAGTCAACTGACTCCCAGAATCTACTTTTAATAAGCTTAAACAGCACCTGACAATTTACCAATACAATGTAAATTACAACTGGGCAATTCATTTTTCTATTGCAGTTTCATCACCTGTGAGTAGGGACTAAAGTTACAATATACTCTACAGTGTGACTGTTACAGGACAGAAATTTCATAAACTACCCTGGCACAGGACTAGTTGTGCCAGGAAATGCTTAATAGGATGGAGGTATAAGAGCCTACTTCTAAGGTGCGCATGCGTGTGTGTCACACCCCATCACCCAGGGTGACTATAACCAATAAATAAACATTTCTGAAATGATAAATTATTCCTGGTATAGAGTGAACCCTCCCTAAAAGTTGGCAAGGGTCACTATTACTGAAATGTTTTTGTGTACTCCAGGACTCATTATTAATGACCTCCATCAGGTAATAACTTTCATGATTTAATTTGGGGCTAGAGAGATGGTTCAGCAGCTCAGAGTGTATACTATACTGGTCTTACAGATGACCAGAGCTGGGTTTCCAGAATCCACATCGGATGGCTCACAACTACCTCGAACTCCAGCTCCAGGGGGATCCTACAAAGGCACTATACTCACATGTGCATATCTGTGTATGCACGTGCGCGTGCACACACACACACACACAGGGAGAGGGAGAGAGAAAGAGAGAGAGAAAGAGAGAGGAGAGAGAGAGAGAATATTTTTTAAATAAAATAATCTTTTTCTTTCATTTGTTCTTCTTCTTCAGGCTGTTGTGCCCATATCATGCCAGGTATTTCAATTAATTGGCTTCATGCAAGAGGACTATAACAGATCTCATTTTATGAATCAGGCCAGTAAAACTTAGAAGAGAGAAGGAGCCTAGTCCAGGTGCTACAGCTGGCAAATGACAATTGTACACTGTTTGAACCTTTGGAGTCTACTGCTGCATCAATTAGTCATGAAACCGATCTCACATATATTTGTTGTTACTTGAGGTCATGGAAAAGTGACTTTTATTTCTGGAACCAGTCACTCAGTGTCAGACACCCTTCGGGCTGTAGGTCAAGCATGCCAATTAGAACTGCCACATTGCATTTACTCCCATAAGATCATTCCCTTGTGAATCTTAAATAACCATGTGATTATGAGCCATACTAATTCATCATGTAGCTTTTATGTATGTAATTAATAGTGTGATAGTTGCTGGTTTCACTGTATTTATTTCTGTAAGCTTTTGGTTTCACCTCCCCTCTGTGTAGTTTGATATGTTTATGGAAATAGGCAGCATGGATGATTTGGTAAGCAAATTGATGTTTGTATTCTTTGTGGATGGTATTATGACAGTCCAGCCAAATCCCACCCACTCCTGTATGGAAATAGATTTCTGTTTAATGCTAACTAGGTTTCATGTGACAATGTATTGTGAAAGGGTCTTCTTTTACTCTTGCCTTCCCACTTGAACTTCCTTTCAATGATGGGGCACAGCAAAGGTTTCAGGTCACTGAGTGGGCATTTGAATCAGCAGGAGTATCTGGGCCTTCTTCAACTGCTATCCTACTAAGAAGGAGGGTGCCTTGCATTTCTAAATATTAATCAAGTGTCACTTCCTGTAGAAAATGGGGCCACATAAATTCCTTCAGTTTGGACCTCTAGTTAGCTGTAAAGAAGAATGATATTATGACATCTGCAGAAAAAAATGGTGAAACTGAAGATCATCAGTTTGAAAGAAATAAGAAACACTCAGAAGACAAATAGCACATTTCTCTTACATGCAAAATCTCGACTTAAATTTCTATGTACATGCATGTATATATACACATGTGTAGGACATGGGATTAGAAAGGAGACTGTGCGAGAAGAGAAAGAGGTCTAAATGGAGGGGAAAACAAAGGAGAACACTGCAGTATGTGTACAGGAAAGCAGGGAGATAGCATTGGAAGAGGGTAGCTGGAGGTGTGAAAATGCCACAATAAAGCTCTTTACTTTGAAAAGATTTATTTTATTTTTATTGTGAGAATGTACATCAGATGCCCCTGTAGCTAGAGAAGTCCACAGAGGGGAAGGAAGTGACTAGAGGGAGAAGGGAGGGCCTAATACTGGGCAGAAACCATACTAGTTTGCTAGAAGAAACTAATCTGGTGATGACAAAATTGGGACTCATCAAATCAGGGCTCTTCGGGTCTGTAAAAGGACCTGAGAGTCCACCTTAGGAACCATAACCTTGAAGGCCTGGCCCTCGTGAATTGGATTTCAGAGACACATGACTCTAAATGCCTGGTACCCAAGAACTGCACATGACAGACCCCCAGGAACAGAATGAGAGCCCATCTTAATGGCAGTAAGTATGCATGCCTATATATCTGAAAGGAAAAGAATCTAGAGATACATTTGTCTTTTTATTTGGCCTGCTCGAGTTTTCAGGTTTGTAGAATAAGCCATATCATGTGATTTTTTAAGTGGAAAAAACCCAACCAAACATTTACAAAGGGCAGGTTTAAATGAAGCATGATGTTGAAATTTGACAAGTTATACCTTGTCTGGTGCAGAAGGTTTGAAAACTCTTAGAAATTTCTTGTAGAATGTAATTGAAGGCCCCATAGCCTCCCTTTCTACTTCCTCCTCTTCTTCCCTCTAGAAGATTTTGTGATTCCTTTTCTTAATCCTCTCCATAAAGTTTCCCCCAGCCCCATCTTTAATGTGAAGTGCATGAGAGCTTGAGAAACACCACAGTATGTAAATCATCGTGCAAGACTGGGAAAAACTACATCTTGGCCCAGACATGAAGCCCCACTTGTTTAAACTCATTCTCTGATCAGATCTGCTGAGTTAGAAGATGGCTTTGAGAAAGACTGTTTCAGCTGCACATGTATAAGAAAATTGGGCAGAGCTTTTAGTGTTTTTTAATGTAGAATACAAATATAATAGAAAGTACCCTGTAACTATGCCTAGTGTTTGGTTACCCTACAAAGGGTCTATAACATGAAACTACCACTTCATAATTTCCATGCAATTTCAAGAACATTTTCCTGTTGGCATAGACTTTGGATATAGGAAATAATCTTATTAGGGAAGGAAATTTGAATGGCAGCAGAGGTGGAAAGGAGCTGTGACACCTCCTTCCTCAAGTCCTGACACCAGAGTCTCACCCTCACCTCCGCCCTGTCGTCCAACCTCAAGCAAAGAAACCAGTGTCCACACTGTTCAAAATAAACCAACCTTACTTTCCTTCTTTAAAAAAATTGAACCGGCTGGTGGTGGCGCATGCCTTTAATCCCAGCACTCAGAAGGCAGAGGCAGGTGAATCCCTGTGAGTTTGAGGCCAGCCTGGTCTACAGAATGAGTTCCAGGATAGCCAGGGCTACATAGTGAGATACTGTCTCATAAACAAAACAACAACAAATATAAACAAAATCAAAGAAAGAAAGAAATTGAAGACAGAGTCTCATTACATTGCCCTGGCTCCTTTGAACTCACTGTATAGACCAGGCTGCCCCCAAACTCATAGAGACTCTGCCTCCCAAGTGCTGGAATTAAAGTACTAGGATTAAAGGTATGTACAACTATGCCTGGTATTTTTTTAATTTAACTTAATGTTTTTCATATTTTGGTCATATTCTTTCCCCTGCCCCAACCCCTCCTAGGTCTTAACCAACTCCCTACCTACCCAACTTCATTTTTTAATTTAAAACATTGTTGTGTGGTGTGTGTGTGTGTGTGTGTGTGTGTGTGTGTGTGTGTGTACGCTTGTGCATGGTGTTGGACAGAAGACAAATTTGTGGAATCAATTCTCTCCTTCTACCTTTATGTGAGTTTCAGGGCAAAACTCAGGTCATCAAGTTTGCGTGGCAAATGCCTTTACCCGCTGAATTGTCTCATCACCACGTCCCATGTTATGTTCACAAAAGAATTATCCCCTTTATTTTAAATCCATAAAACAATATCCAGGGCCACATGTGTGCAATATTTTCTTCTATTTAATGAATAGGAATTCGTGAAGTCTGTCCATAAGTCAGGCAATGACCTTAGGACTGTTTTCGATAGTCACAGTCTCCGGACCTATGTACATAGATTTAAAGACCTGTTTTTCTAAATTCCCACTTTCAGAGTTGTGTGGGCTGTATCAGTAGGACCGACTGGTGGTGATTGAACCCTAGCTTGTGTTTCTTAGTCTCCCTTTCTGTCTACTACCTGCTGTGGCGTACTCCCGGGCTAGTGGCTGGCTGGGTTTGCTTCTGTGTCTGCACATGCCTCCATCCTGAGGGAACAATGTCTGTGCTGCTGCTTCCTGATCAAGAGTGTTAATAGGATGCAAATATTTTCTCTTTTAATGCATGGCCCTGGCATCGTCAGGGAGAACATGAGAGATGGTGCCTCAGAGCAGTAACTTTTTGCTTACAGCTTGAGAGTTAAAGTTAAGACCCATTCATAGACTTCAGCTCCAAGGTAAGTAAACTTAATTATCTTTAGAGCATCAGAGATAGATCTTATCTACTGAGCACCTAATTGTAAATGGTGGTGCAGTCTCCCAAAGCAAAGAAGAACTTGAAGGTTATCTGTGTGGCCCACGGCTTAACATCAGTAATTTTCTTATCAGACCTGATATCACAGAGAGGGCTAAAACTGTTGTCCCTTAGTAGAAAGAGAGAATTGATTCACTTCTTTTTCTCTATAAATACTTTAAGTTCTAAATGTTTCACATAGTTTGGGAGTGAAAAGTTTTTCCTTTGGAAATGTACTCATTCTGCTGCTCTTTTGAGTCTCTTTTGTCAGCATTTTTGTTGCTTTTCACTCATCTTCTTCCTTTGATTTAACCTTGATAATGTTAACCATACCCACATCCTTTATGTCATGTTCGGGGTGGTGAATGTTCTTCACAATGATAGCAGTGTTTTGTGGTGATTTGGATAATATGGAAAAACCACTGGCCACAGACACGGAGGGAAGTTTTAGTTGGTTTGTTACTTAATTCATGGTGGGCTTCCTGAAATGCAGCTTAAAAGATTTTACTATCTCCTATTCAATTCAATAGATGTGTCTAGAATGTTTAGATGGTAGGAACCACTTTGATGAGGTAGCCAGGAGGAAGGTGCAAAGATGGTGACCTGATGATACAGAGTGAGACAAGTGTTAGGGAAGGCATAAAATGCTACAGAGGAGCCACATGCTGCCAAACTCAGAACAAAAGCCACAGAAAACTATGAGGGGTACGTGGTCTAGTCTATAATCCTAAATCAGTCTCATTTTTAGAAGTTGGCATCTTTATTCTCCCTGAACCTAGCTAGATATGGCAATCATTTTGATTCTTTCTTTAGGACAACAATATGGATAGCAAATCCATTCTAGAAGAACTGCTTCTCAAAAGGTCACAGCAAAAGAAGAAAATGTCACCCAATAATTACAAGGAGCGGCTTTTTGTTTTAACCAAAACAAGCCTTTCCTACTACGAATATGACAAAATGGTAAGGCTTTCCTTCCTTGTTTTGTGCTATTTATCATTCCCCCCCCCACAGTACTTTATTATAATGAAAGAATGCCAGGTTTCTTAGCTAAGAGTAACTATCAGCTTGTGTCAGCGTGCTACACTGCCTCTCTTTAACCAAAGTATGATGAAGCAAGGAAAAGGCTTTGGAAAATACTTATTTGTTTTATTAAGACAAAACATAATAAGTCCTTAAGACAGTAGTTCTGAGCTGAAGTAATGTTTGTTTCCTGAGAGACATTGGACAATGCCTAGAGATACCTCAGTTGTCACAACTAGTTCTGGGGGTGGGAGGGTAAGCACTGCTGGCATCCAATGGATAGAGACTGGGGATGCTGCTAAAATACCCTACAGCAAAGAGTTCTCCATCCTCATATGTTAGTGTGGAGGATGAGGAACACTGCCTTAAATCAGTAGTGGAAATCACAATAGCTCTGTGCCACTGAGAACTTGATCAGGGGAGAAAAACAAAACACCATTAAAAAACTGAAACAAAGTTAAGCTGCTTCCTGTCATTAAACATTGATTTCTCTATTAACCACTTGGCGGGTGGTTTGAAAAAAATTACACAATTCTCAAATAAGGTTGTTAACTGTCACTCGGATACTTGCTTTTGGAGAAGCAAGTGTTCCTGTGTTCATAATTTAGAAACATGATTGTGACAGCCATGGAGCAACAGGACATGTGTCTCCATTGGCTTCCACACCCCTTAGTCTCTCTCCAGACATTAACTTGCTTGTACACTTTTAGCTGCTCACCGTGACACACCAACATGATACAGTTTCTGGTTTGCTTTTGAATTCAGAAACGAGGAAGCAGAAAAGGATACATAGAAATTAAGAAAATCAGATGTGTGGAAAAAGTCAACCTCGAGGAGCAGACACCTGTGGAGAGACAGTACCCTTTTCAGGTAAAAAAGGAAAACAGTTTCTTTCATATTTTCTAGTGTTAGCTCACCATGCACAGGAAAATAACCATATTACAAAACAATCCCTTGAGACAATGATAATGTCTGGAATATTCCCAAGTGGCTGTTGAAAGTTTTATCAGAATCCTGCTGGCTAATCTGCTTCCCTCAGAGGGAGGGGAAGCAAGATGAGTGTAAACCACTGTGGTCTGACCTGCTTCAGCTCTACCCATCTCCATTATGGACTTCTGTGGGGTGTCTCTCTTGGGTAACAACAAGTAGGAAGCTATGCAGGATTAAGTACCAACCCCACCCTGGCTTGTCTCCACTATCATAATATGGTGAGAGTGAGTGTGATGGAGGTTGGATACAGTACATTCCTTGTGCTTTGGTCCTCACTACAAGATGTCAGGAAAATGTTCTGTTGGAGGTGACAAACAGATCCTAACTAGCAAAGTCTGAGGTGGCAGCAGAACTAAATAGCAAGTGTGGAGGCACTGGAGGAGGAAATAAGGGAATGAAAGAGACCACCGCCGAGAAACAGGTGGTGTTGCACTGGCAATTTACACAAAAGATTTCTTCTTTTCTTCCTTCCTCCTTCCCTCCCTCCTTCCTTCCCTTTCTTCCTTTGTTTTCTTTATTTTTATTTTATGTGTATGAGCATTTTGCCGGCATGTAGAGCATGTTAGGTCCCCTTGGAACTAGAGTTAGAGACAATTGTTAGCTCCAATATGAGTGCTGGGGATTGAACCCAGGTCCCCTGGAAGAGTAGTCAATGTGCTTAAACCACTTAGCTATTTTAACAGCCCCTAGAATTCTTTCTTTTTAACACTAAATAAACAAATGTGTGTGTGTGTGTGTGTGTGTGTGTGTGTGTGTGTGTGTGTGTGTACATACTCCCACATGCAGCAACATGAATGCGGAATCAGAAGACAACTTGTTGGACTCAATTCTCTCCTTCCACCACGTGGGTTCGGGGGATTGAAATCAGGCCATCAGGTTTGGTGGCAAGTATCCTTACTTCTGAGCCATCTCACTGGCCCATTTCCATGCTACAAAGAATGTCTTTGTGAAGGGGTTGAAGCTGAATTATACCCGCTATCAGCCAGATGGAGAACACTGAGAGAGAGGGTGCCCATGGAGATGACCTCAAACACAGCAGGAACATATAGGTTATCCAAAACCACAAAAGTTTCAGGCCCTACAGAATCCCTAGCCCACTATGTGCGTTTGTATAACCATAACAATATATCACAACTTATCTCTGAGTATAGTTGCTCATTTTGCTAGAAAAAGCATATTCATATATATCATATATAAATAAAAGTAAAAATATTAAGGTAGTATGAGCCCAGCTTCTAGAAGATTTTTCATGAGTGGTATGTGTTGTTTTCCAGTTGTAAAATAAGCCTGATCTGGAGGGGGCATTGTAATTTTCAAACTGGGACAGATATATACATATGCTTGTGGTTGCAAGAGGACATGGTGCTGTTAATTATGGAACTAGGACCGTCATGATGGATGGAGTACAAGTCATGGAGAGCATATTAATCATAGTTTATTACACGAGACCAAGAGGGGGGGGAGACAAGAATGTAAGTGGGCAGGGGTCTATCCTTTAAAGGGGTCCTTTGCACCTGTGTGTAGACTGGTTCTCATGGAACTCTGGGCTGGCCAGAGTGCTGCCTGAGTGAATCCTGTCAGGTAGTAGGGCAGGCCAGAGTAATGCCTGAACCTTTCACATGGGGTGTCCTGAGTGTGGAGCCAAGAGGTCACCTTATTCCAGGATCTTTTACTGATCCTGGAGCCCCAGTAATCATCCTCCGTGTGATCTCAAGAGCAATGGGCTTATAGGCTTGAATGGGAGCACACCCCGATTTTCTTACCGCTTGAGTCATCATCCTTCTAGCCCCTCAAACAAGCGTTGTCATAGGGATAAGAAAATACATAGTGTGGAGTGTCTGAGATGCTCCATAATGTGACAGACTGACATAACAAGGAGACACAGTTTTCCTGAATATAAGCACGAAGTGTAAACTGACCAGAATGTGGGAAAACTACCTAATATGGCATAGCAAAAAGGAGGGCTATCCTGTTCTGGTGAAAGCTTTACCCCAGCCCCTGGTGTCCATATACCCCGAGAGTCTGGGATGTTATGGCTGAAGTTCCACCCAAGCCCCCTCCCCTATCTTTCTTTCCCACCCCCAAACCCTGCTTCATCTCAGAAAGCCTGCCAAACACAGCTCCTCCCTCAGAGATGCTCAAGACCACTTCCACGGAGTATTTAAACTGCACTCCCCCCCCCAGAAAACAGACATGTGGGTTTTCGGTCTCTCTTCCCTGTCTCCTCTGGAAGTGGGGCGTCAGAAAATCACCCAGGAGCACTGTATTCATTAAACGTGGGTTTTTTTTTCTAATTCGATTTGATTTGGTCTGATTTGGATTGCTGCATTGACAGAGAGGCTTATCAGAGTGCAAAACTTTTCATATTCCATCCCTGGAAATATTTCTTAAGGATACAGAAGATAAAGGGTTTCTAATTGTGAGAGGAACTGCCTACTGGTTAGAAAGATGAACCACAGAGCTCCTATGAAATATGTAATTTACCATATTATAATACTCCCTCGTCCAGGGCACCCCAAATGAGGCTTTAGTGTCCATCACTGCTCCATGCTTTGTTGCTGGGATTTTTCCCAAGTGCTCATGTGTCTGACACAAAACATATTGAGATATAGAAGACATAAAAACCTGTAGTTGTTTTCACGTAATTCCAAAGCTAGTACATGTTATATGAAAAAAAAGGTTTATTTCCGATAACATAAAAATTTACAGGTACACCAGATTGAACCATGAAACACTTGTATCAAAATTCACTGCTTTCGTTTTCCCTTCCAGGTTGTGTATAAAGATGGGCTTCTCTATGTCTACGCATCAAACGAAGAGAGCCGAAGTCAGTGGCTGAAAGCACTGCAAAAAGGTAACAGAATGCCATGGTGAAGGCTTGAATTGTTTTCCTATCAAGCTCAGGCAACGGGCTGTATTCATGCCCGCTTTTGTGTTCTCAGTGTTACAGACAGGAAGCCTGGGGATCGCCTTTGCTTTCACAACTAGCACAGAGCTAGCTATTGTGTCTTCCCTAGCAGGAGGTGGTGGGGGATGGGGAGCCAAACCAGCTGTGCTTCCTGCTGCGCCTCAAGTCCTGTGGGGACTATATTTCCAGTACTCATAGACAGTGCTAACAGTACTGAGCACTTAGCACCTGCCAGCTACTCTATCAAGCACATGTTGCATCTTGTTGCATAATCCCCTTGACAACTATGGACAGGGGTATTACTAGTCTTCATTTTTCACACAAGTTTAAAAGAAAACAGATATATGCCATAAACCTAGTTAATGGGAAGTCTCAAAATTTAATCACCAGAACCCAACTTTGAAAATCACAACATTTCAAGCTATTATATTTGTGACCCAAACTGAGGATTTAATGAAGATTTTATTTGTGATTTTTTTCAGCTGCTATGGTAACAAGGGAGAGAATTGCTGTTATTAATTTAGCACCATGATATTTCCCTCTCAAATATTTCTTGTTTTCAAAAGGGTCATGTTGTAAGGGTAGTGTTTAACTCAAATCAATGATTCTATCGGTGCGGCTTCGGGTTTTAACGTCCTAGACAGAAGAAGATTTTCATTTCATGTTTATGTTTTAGATTACAGCACTATCTCAGTACACCTCAGATTGCCCACACCCACTCCACATCAATGCATGTACATCCCTCCCCACACGTAGTTCCCTTCATTTTCCCTTTATGTGAAAGGACTTAGCAATCTCTTTTGTGGAGTAGTGAAGTGGTCATTAGCGAGAGAAGCATCCCTCATTACCTACAATCATCTCAAAGAATTGAGACAGGTACCTCTGCCAGAGCCAGGCAGACGTGGTTGCCTTGTCATCTACCTTATATAACACATCTGGTCCTTTCCTGACCTGCAAAGTAAGGAGCATATTTCTTTTCTCCTATGGCAATTACATGTATGAGTGACTCTAAAACATATTAAAATATCCTCTCACATATAAGGCGTGTGGTTCTAATGGGGCTTCCAGGAGGAGCCCTAAGATTTTGCTTCCCAGCAAACCATCTTTGGGGGAAACCCTGAGGACTTGCTTGTCACATAGATACTCTTTATATTTAGCTCTTGTTTAGCCCCCAAGTCTCCATTTGTGGGTCTTTCTGGAACTATACATGTTGTCCAGGCCTTGGAGTAACATATGTGATTGTTAATGGATGGAAAAGGTGAACCAAGAGACAAGCAACAACACATCTCTTGGTCCCTCATGAAATTCTAGCGTCTCCATTCCTAGTGCTGCTGTATGCACAGCAGAAAGTGTGTGCCTGTTAGCAGTGCTTTGTACTGGAGGAAAAAAGACATCAAACAATCACTGGAACAAATCTATTTGTGCCTTCTCTCCCACGGGAATGGGAGGCAGGCAGTCTTGGGATTGGGCAGCCATTCAAGGATGTCAGGGACACAGGTTCCCTCTAACTTTCTGTTTTAGCATTCTTACAAGAAGGTTCTAAATTGTCTTAGAATCCTCCTGCTGAAAACTTTTGTTCATACTACATTTCTCAGAAGTAGGGCTCATATCTATCTCTATGTACAATAGACATTGAAAAACAGTATCTGTTAGTTTTTTCCAGTGTCTGTGATGGAGGATAGACAAGGTGGGTGAGATTGTCATCAAGTTAGCAAAAACGAACTTGCTATGGGGACACAAAGATTCTCATTTAAATATTTCCCCTTATGAGTCCTCGCCAATTTAAATTACCGCAGTCTATTTAGCTCTGTAAGAATCATCATAGCAAGAACAGCCAACCCTCAGGGGTACTATGTAGACTAAGAAATGCATGTGAGGAAAAATACATAAAGTCACATACACTTTTTAATGCCATCATTAAGCAATGTGGATTTTGTGACTTAGTTGGAGGATTAGTTACTCAGAAAACTAAATCCTTTTAGTTGGAAACATTGGGAATCTTGACACATTAAAGAGGAAGCACTTAGACAGAAAGAAAGCATGCAATATGCCTGGGGAATATTTGGGCCTAAACTGAGAAATTAACATTTTATAATCTTAATTCATTCTGTAATAATTTACTTTTAATGCTTGCAAGTATAGTTTTTCCTTGGTGCTGGCATTTTCAGCTAACATGAATTGAGTCGTACTAAATGAATGTCATTACTAAAACCCACTTTTCACTGAACTATATGAGGCCAAAGATTTATGTATAGTGTCCTGTACCCTCTCAATGACCAAGCACAATATTAATTATTATTCCTTAAGTGGAGTTAATAAAGGAAGACTAGGACTCTCTGGGTTTGCAGTTAGGAATTTTCTAGATGAACATAAAATCAAGAAGGAAGCGTTGAAGTGACACACAGAACCAGCCCTCCCCACCTAAAGATGTTTCTTGAGCTCTTGTCTGCTAAATCATTAGACATCTTTTAGCTGTATTGAAAAAGATGCTAATTTCTTGTAGGTACAGGACTATATTCAAAGATTAGAATTTTATTTGTTTTGATTGACATTGCCTTATTCTCATGTTTTGTTTTTCCAGTACTGGAGATGGAGCCCAGGACTTGGTGCATACTAGGCAGGAGCTTTACTACAAAGTTGCACCCTTAACTCCTCTTTTCTAATACACACTGTCACACTACAGTTGGTGGAGTTTTTTTTTCTTTTAACTCTTTAGCTCTTTGGGAGCTCACCACCCAGCTCCCAAGTAAATCACAAGGAGTCTTATTGTTACTATAATGCTCAGCCTTAGCTTAGCTTGTTTTTAGGCAGCTTTTCTTTTTCCTTTCTAGACAGCTTTTCTTAAATTAACCTATTTCCCTTTTACCTCTGGACTTTTACCTTTCTCTTACTTCTGTAATCTTACTTTCACTCTTACTCCATATCTGGCTGTGTGGCTGGATAGCTGGTCCCTTGACTCTTCTCTGATCTTGCTCCCAGATTTCTCCTCCTATTTATTCTTTCAGCCTGCTAGGCCTGCCTCTCCTTTCTCCTGACTTGTGACTGGCTGTTCAGCTCTTTATTAGACCAATCAGTTGTTTTAGACAGGCAAAGTAGCACAGCTTCACAGAGTTAAACAAATGCAACATAAAAGAATGTAACACAACTTTGCATCATTAAGACAATTGTTCCACAGCATAAACAAATGTAATACATCTTAAAATAATATTCTACAACAACACACAAATCCTAGAAAAGTAGCCCCTGGCTAGATGTGGTGACTGAGACCTGTAGTCCCAGTATTTGGGAAGCAGAGGCAGGAGAGTCAAGAGTTCAATGTTAGCTTTGGCTACATGGTGAAGCAAAACTAGATGTGTATACACAAGACCTTGTCTCAGAAAAAAAGCCTCCCAGCTCCTTCAAATTATTTATTCCTTAAAGTAAGGATGTCAAAATCATGAAAGACAAGGAAAAGATGAGAAACTACTACAGGTCAAAGACAACTAAACAACTAAATTTCATACATAATACTGGATAGGAACTTTGATCAGAAAGAATAAGTCATTTAAAGAACATTATTGGAACAATTGGAGAAAATAAAATATGAATTATTATATCGTACTAAATATATTAAATAAAATTATATTTTATTTTCTGAATTTCAGATTTTGCTTTCTAGTTAGATAAGAGAATAAATGCCCTTGGTAATAAGAACTATGTGGGGAAATATTTATGGGTGACATCATTCAAGTCATATATCTGCCATTCACTCTAAATAATTATGTGACTAATGATGGCAAATTTTAGAACAATAATGATGTGTATAATTAAGAGAAAGAATCAGGAAAAAAATCTAGTTAACATTGGCGGAACTAAGGAAACGGTGGAAGGAGGAGATACTGCAAAATTCTTTGAAAAAATTCCAAATGAAAACATATAGTGAGTACAATATGTCAGAAATTCTTTTTCCTAAGATCTACGCCCAGCCTACTTCTGCCACCAAAGAACATCAGGTGCTATAACCCATTTAGAACTTTTACAGATCTATTTATAAAATCTTAATGGCAAGCTGGCCAGTGTATGCATTTTTCCTAACTTTTCCATATCAGAATAATACATTATTGTGCTGGGGTTAGATTGTGGATCATACTGTGCTTTCTGTTTATTCTTTGGGTTTATTAACTTCTGAATGAAACCCAACTGCTGTGGTAGACACTGGGTCTTACCTCAGTTGCTGGTAAATGAGATTGTCATTGTTCTGAGATTATGGTTTTACTTACTTCTCTTGGGCCAATGTCTGCTTATATCTTGTGTCCTTCCTACTTGCCCTCCAGAGATACGGGGCAACCCCCACCTGCTGATCAAGTACCACAGTGGCTTCTTTGTGGATGGGAAGTTCCTGTGCTGCCAGCAGAGCTGCAAAGCAGCCCCAGGATGCACTCTCTGGGAAGCATGTATGTGTGACTCCCTATTGCACTGGACCACGGGTGGGTGGGGGCTCCACTAGGTCAAACCTGCTGAGTGCTAGATCGGTTTTCAGAAATAAAATATACCATAGTGATGACATCATAGTAATGTGGCTTTGTGCATGCTATGCTGAAACTGAAGTATAATTTTAGTGTAAATTGAATCATACTCCCTCAATATTAATACATCCCTTTTTCATTTCATGAAAAATGTATTTAAAATTGAAACCACAACAGGCAAACAGAGAGAAAATGACCATGAATATGGATGGGTAGGGAGGTGGAGAGAATCTAGGAGGAGTTGGCAAAGGATATTGTCAAAATATACTTTCTCAAAACAGTTCAACAACAAAAAAATAAAACATGGACCAAGTAATGACCCATTAATACTTCTCATAACTCTTCTAGTTTAAAGAAAACTCCTTAGAACTAAAATGTGGTGAGGATATCACCATGGATCAAATAGCTAGTTTTCCCACTTGGTAAGAAAATGAGGGACTGGAGAGATAGACGACTCAGTGGTTAAGGGCATCTGCTGCTCTTCCAGAGAAGGCCTGGGTTTGATTCCCAGCACCCACATGTTGCTTCACATCAGTCTGTAACTCCAGTCCCAGCAAGTCTGGTGCCTTCGGATCTCCTTCTGCACTATCTGCATGTGGTACACAGATACATCCAAGCAAAACACCCGTATAGAAAATAAAAATAAAAGAAAGGAAAGCGGGTTTTTTGTGTGTGTTTTATTTTGTTTTTAATCAAAGGCAGGCATGGTGGCATATACTCAGGAGGCTGAGGCAAGAATATTATAGTTTGAGATTGGCCTGAGCTACATAGCTAGCTTAAGATTAAGCCTCATCCTAAGACCCCATCTCAAGCATTCGCTTACGCACATGCACAAGAGATAGCTCAGTTCTTTCTTCTTATAAATAACAAAATATGAAGCAACCCTGCTTTTCAAATATAGAGCAAAAGATACAATTTAAATAATAGTTTTAATTACCACATATGTCAACATGATAATGGCTATCATTATAAGATTTACTTAAAGTTATTGGCCATTCTGTATGGGTGTGTTGATTTCTTAATAACTTGTGGAAATGAAGCATAAATTGCTTATAAGATTTAGAGGAACTTGAACCTTCAATTCAGACAATGTAATGTATCAGTTGCTGGTGTTGACAAAATGCTATGTGAGTTGAGCATTACACGAGAAAGCTCCAGAACTGCTTCAAACATTGCCTGAATTCAGTTGCTCTGGTGTATTGTTCCTGTGAACTGGTTTGTTGTTTCGATTCCCAGTGTTTGGTGTTTTCCTTTGTTCTGTTTACTCTTACTTTTCAGATGCTGACCTGCACATTGCAATTAATGAGGAGAAACACAGAGCCCCCACTTTCCCAGAGAGACTAGTAAGTCTATTGTTCAATTATTTTTTAAGTTAACATACAAAGTCTGGAATATTTGTATATGTGTGCCTTTCTGTTTTGTTCTAATTCATCCTGTCTCTTCTCTGCCACTAGTTTCCTTTCACATTCTGCATGTATGTCCCAAATATTCCACTACCCTCTTATTTTCCCCTTAAGTTCTCTTCATCATTCTTTGTTATCCTTGTTCTAGTTTTATGATCTACACACACACACACACACACACACACACACTTCTAAATTTAGGTTCTGCATATGAAAAAATGATGCAGCATTGGTCTTTCTGGGTCTGGCTTGTTTGACTTAACATAGTGCTTTCCAGTTCCCATCCATTTCTCCTCCAAATATCATGTTTCTGTTTTTCTTTACACCTAAATAAAATTCCATCGTGTATATAGATCACATTTTTATCTATTCATCTGATGATAGAAACCTATGCTTGTCCCACTTCCTAGCTATTGTGAATACTACATATGGGTGTGTGTTACCACTCTAGTTGGTGGGATGAACCTGTGAAGTGGGGCTCTTAAAACGGGGCAGACTAACGTCTCGTGCTTATTCAAAACATCAGACAATTTATACTCTGAGGGTATTCTGACAGTTAAACAAGGTCAAATGAGCAAAGGTAACATGAGATTAAGCTGTATACAGTCACTAGGACAACACATGCTTGGAAACTTCTTTGAATAAGAAAAGTAAGATACTGAGTAATCTGAAATAAACCCACTCCTAACTAGTATACCTGGGAGGGACAGGAACACATTCCAAGAACAACCATGTTATAAGAAACAGGTTACACAACTCCTGCTTCGTTTCCTTGGAGTTATCTAACAAGCTTTCAGAAATCTCCTCACACAGCTGCATTCATGGACCATGTTCCAACAGGTGTGCAATTATCTCTGTGCCAAGTCAATAGTCTGAAAAGTGTTTTGGCAAACAGGATATAGTAAATAAACTAACTGTTGTCAGATTCAAGACTAAAAATGTGTAGTTCATACTAACTTCTCAGCAGAGAGAGAAAAAACTATGAGCTACCACATATCTATAGTTAGTATTAAATAATGTAGTCAAACATAGAACCGTTGCAACATTTTATTATTTATTAACTACTACATTTTCCTAACCAGCAAGCCTACAAGTAGCCACCAAAATTGCATTCATGTGAGACAAATCTTTATGGAGGCATCACTCATAACAGACAATGCTTTTTTTCTTACAAACATGGACAAAACTACCCTGTGAAAATATCCTGGTGATGGAAAGGAGTCTGTGGAACACAGCATTAAATAACATAATTCATTCTCTCTGTTATTCTCTCCAACCATTTAATGCAACTTGCCGGCCTCCAGATAAATTCTTTGACAGACTCCATAGTTTTCCAGTCACTGTCATATGATAAAAGTCTCCCCAGTTACCGGTCATTAGAACAACCTCCAAAGAGAACGGGCATAGCGGCTCACGCCTTTAATCCTAGTCCTCGGGATGTAGAAGCAGGTGGTTCTCTGTGAGTTCAAGGTCGGTGAGTTCCAGGGTAGCCAAAGCTATGTAGTGAGACCCTGACCAAAAAAAAAAGCAACAATCAAAAAAACAAAACAAAACCAGTCTCCAGAATATGTATGTCCCTATCTGTTGTTATAGCTACCTTATTCTATGCTACACCTCTTCCCTTTACCTCACTCTGGTCTTTATTAACTGGCAGCCTGCATTGGAGCAGGGATCATGGAACCCTGGGCCTTGTGACCCTTTCAGAGTTGAGTCAACTAATGAGAGTATAACTATACATGGTCCTATTATGATTTGGTAGTGATGGCAGCTGCATGAGTTTCCTAAATGTCGATTTTCTGCTGAGGGGGGCAGATAAAAATGGAACTTTATGACAGGAAAGATGTTTTATACTCAGCCCTTGCATTTGCCAATCCCCAAGCCTTACATTGGGTTACTCCACCTATTTTAGACAGAGTCCCTTCAAGATTGTTTCTAGGCAACTTTTTCCCGGGTGTGGAGTCTTTCAATAGGAAAACAAACAAAACTTTGACAGCTCTACATCATTAAAATATATGCAACTTGCTCCCCCTTCTGTTGATAACCATAGCCTTCTACTTTTAGGATTCCCAGTCAGGTGGCAGCTTCTCCACATGCTAGAAGATGTTTTAAGTGGCCTCCAGGTTCCCTAGAACATCATCTTAATTGGACCTCTCAGGTTTATGGTGTGTTTTAAGTTCTGATTATTTCTCCTTCTGAGAAAAACCTATACCATTTTCCTGAACCAACATAACTAAAATAAAATAACTCATTTAAATAAAATAACTCATTTAAAAAATCATTCAGTAGCATTCCCCAAACTCATGTCCATACAGAACTTCAAAATGAGACATTTGCAAGCAAGATATTTGCAGACATAATTTATAAAGGTCAAGATGAGAATATGCAGGGCAAGAATGGGTCATAAGGCTGAAGACTGGTGCTTTTGTAAGATCGGGGACACAGGGAGATGTATACATGAATGAGATGGCAGTGTGAAGACATACGTAAACACTGGAGTTATAACACCATAATCCAAGGAACATTTGTTACCCACCAAAAGCAAGGTCAGCAAAGGCATGCTGACCTTTGGAGAGAATACAGCCAGGGTGGAACTTTGAATTGGGACTTTTTACCTCTAGAGCTGCAAGAAGAATTTCCATAGTCTTAGTCCACCAAACAGGTGGCAATGTGTTATAGCAGTCCTAGGGAATAGGTAGTACTATTTGAACTTTTATTTTGTATTAGAAACATTGTTGTTTGTGCTTGCTGCAGGCCCGCTGCTTGAAACTCACAAATCTTGGGCTGAAGCAGTAGCTCAGTAGTAGAGCACTTGCCTAGCAAGCACCAGGCCCTGCTGGGTTCAACTCTAGCATTCAAAGCGAGAACAACTGTGATCCTAACAACAATATCTAGAATGGACAAAGTTACAAAGACAGATGTCCAGGTAATATTGCCTGTGATCAGCACAGAAATGGAAACTGACTGCTAAAGGACAGGGGGAATTTTATAGGAATAATGGAAATATTCCTATAAAGGACAGATTGTAATGATGACCATAGAACTAGACACATTTACTAAGTCACTAATTCTACACTTAAAAAGCATTATTCCCACAGAAGTTTATTTCAAACAAATCTAAGCACAGAGGGCAAATTAGGAGCTAGAAACCAACAAATCTTATCTCTTGCAATGGATTTTTTGGGAAATCTGTGGAAAATCAGCAGACAACTCAATGGTCTAAGGGTTCCAAGTCTATTTATAAAAATATTTTATTTATTCTTTAACAATTCCATACACATGCAACATAATTTGATTATATCTACCCTCTACTCTCTCCCATACCCCAGCTGCACATCCTGTCTTCAACTTCAGGATCCCTTCTTATTTTTTATAACATACAAAGTTCAATTTGTGCTGCCCACATACTCATGAGTGTGGGGTCATCCTCTGGAGTGTGCTCCACTTACCAGGGCACATCCCTAAAGAAAACTGACCCTCTGTCTTCCAGTAGCCGTCAATTGCCAACAGCTCCTCTGCTAGGGGTGAGAGCTTGTGAGTCCTCCTCCATGGTGGAATGGTGACTGCCTTGTCTTAAACGGGTATTCTGCAGGCAACCCCAGTTGCTGTGAGATCATGAGTGCAGCAGTCACGTCGTGTCCAGAAGACAGTGTTTGGCAGCGGTCCTCCATAAACTCTCTGTTATTTTGTTTGTTAGTTTGGTTGGTTTGGTTTTTCGAGACAGGGTTTCTCTGTGGCTTTGGAGGCTGTCCTGGAACTAGCTCTTATAGACGAGGCTGGTCTCCAACTCACAGTGATCCCCCTGCCTCTGCCTCCCGAGTGCTGGGATTAAAGGTGTGTACCACCACCGCCCAGCAACTCTCTGGTTTTTTCAATCTCTCTACACACTATTCTTCAGTGTTCACAGAGTCCGAAGCTGGTTTTGAGTATAAGTTGTTTAAATTAACCAAAGATCAAAGAGAGAGTGTGTCATCAAAGGAATAGGAACACTCCCTTTCTCCTCCCTCTCCCCCTCCCCTGCCCTGTGTGTGTGTGTGTGCGTGTGTGTGTGTGTGCGCGCGCGCGCGTGTGTTTGACCACAGTACTCAGTAGAGAGTTTGTTTTCTCAATTGGATGCGGGGATTTGGAATGAATAAACAGTCCTTTAGAGATTCTGCTCAGAATGCATTTGAGAAATTTTTACAAATGTGTTTATCTTTGGAGAGAACCCAGCTTTGAATTTATCAGTAAGTAGTTCTAGGATAGCAAATCTTCAACTCCAAATAAATGATAACCCTGAAACAAAAAAAGAGGAAAATATAATGCAAACAAAATAAAAAATCAATTTTAGAGTTCATACACAGAAAAGGTTTTTCATGACATACAATGTACACTAAGAAAAGCACACAGATATGCTCATCTTATTAATTTTCAGAATCTGAACCAATCTTTGTAAACCATTCAGATCATTCAGATTAAGAAAGAGAACATCAGGAAATGTCAGGGGTACTTAAGTTACATTTCAGTTAGTACATCAGCCCAAGAGCAATTGCTAGCCAGATGTTCAACCTCATTGATTGATTGCTTGATTTACATACACATACACACACACACATATATATATACATATATATAAAGAGAGAGAGAGAGAGAGAGAGAGAGAGATTACATAGTCACTAGCCTGTCTTTTTTGGTTCAGTTTATGAGAGTCATACTTCTTAATTTTTTTATTTAAATTAGAAACAAGCTTGTTTTACATGTCAATCCCAGGTCCCTCTCCCTCCCCTCATCCCCTGCCCCCACCTATCCCATCCCCTTTCTGCTCCCCAGGGAGGGTGATGCCTTCCATGGGAGATCTTCAGGTCTGTCATATCATTTGGAGCAGGGCCTAGAATCTCCCCAATGTGTCTAGGCTGAGAGAGTATCCCTCTATGTGGAACGGACTCTGAAAGTTCATTCATATACTAAGGATAAATACTGATCCACTACCAGAGTCCCCATAGATTGCCCAGATCTCCTAACTGAGACCCACTTTCAGGGGTCTAGATTGGTCCTATGCTCATTTCTCAGCTATCAGTCTAGGGTGCATGAGCTCCCCCTTGTTCAGGTCAGCTCTTTCTGTGAGTTTCACAAGCCTGGTGTTGACCCCTTTGCCCATCACTCCTCCCTCTCTGCAACTGGATTCCAAGAGTTCCACTCGGTGTTTAGCTGTGGGTGTCTGCTTTTGCTTCCATCAGCTACTGGATGAAGGCTCTAAGATGGCATATAAGGTAGTCATCAATTTCATTATCAGAGAAGGGCATTTAAGATAGCCTCTCCACTATTGCTTAGATTGTTACTTGGGGTCATCCTTGTAGATCTCTAGAAATCTAGTACCAGATTTCTCTTTGAACTTATAATGGCTCCCTCTACTATGTATCTCTTTTCTTGTTATCTATTCTTCCCCAGAGTCAACCTTCCTGCTCCCTCATGTCCTCCTCTCCCCTCCTCCCCTTCTCTTTCTCCTAGCTCCCTCTTCCCTCCTCCCATGCTCCCAATTTGCTCAGGAGATCTTGTACCTTTCCCTTTCTCTGGGGTATCCTGTAGAAAGTCATACATTTTAATAAGTGGTTATATTTTATTATTATTGCTTATAGAATTCTATTATATGATTATACTAATGAATTATTTTCTTAATGTTGCTCCAAAAGATTACCACAAACTAAGTGGATTAAAGCAATGTGATTAATTGAGTTGTTGCCTCATAGTTCTGAAGGTCAAATGCCTAAAAAGGTCTAGTCAGTTGTTTCTTCTGAAGGCTTTATGAAGGGGTGGGGATGTTTCCTTGCCTTGCCTAGCTTCTGAAGGCCACTATTTTCAGTGGTTTCAGGTGCCTTCCTTTGTCCTCAGCACCAAAAGGGCAGCAGCTTCCCTGCTTGCATGCCTCTGCTAGCATGTTCTAGCTCATCCCTGACACTTCTGATTAGATCAGGCTCATCTCTATCTCCAAGAATAATCTCCCCATCTCAAACACCTTAACTTAGTCACAGTCACCAGAGTCCCATTCACCATGGAAAATATTCACAGTTTCTGTGAGTTAGGACATGAATATCTGGGGAAGCCATTTCTTAATCTACTGCAGCAGCAATATATTTTCTATTTTATCATCTTGATAAGTATTTTGGTAGTTTCCAATTTTATCAAATTCTAACAATTTTGCTGTGACCATTATTTTGCACATCTTTTATTTCACTGCTGGATATATAGCATATAATTGCTGGGCTATAGGATATTAGACACCCAGCCTTACAACATTCTGCAAATGAGTTTCCAACTAGCAAAAGTGTGAGCTAACAGTTGTTCTGCATTCTTGCCAATGCTTAACATTGTCTCCATTCCTTTCTCCTTTCCTTTCTTCCATCCTTCCTCTTCTGTGTAGGAACTGATATATTCTGTTCATGGACCTGTGCCTCTTTTGTAATATAATTAAATCTCTTGTCCTCCAAAGCTGAAGATTCCTCGGGCAGTTCCTGTTCTCAAAATGGATGCATCATCCTCAAGCACCACTCCATCCCAATATGACAGCCACTCTAAAAGAAGTTATGGCTCCCAGCCAACCATCAACATACGCTATATTCCAAGGGAAGACTGCCCTGACTGGTGGCAAGTAAGAAAACTGAAAAGGTAAAGCTAAGCTTTTAAGCTTGCTTTCCAGAGTATAGAATAAACATTGCCCCATAGCCTAGAACTGCAGTCTCAAACTTCTTCAAAAATATTCAGTACTTCAACTAGAAGAGTGGGGAAGCTGAGGGTTGGAGAGATGATTCGGGGCTTAAAAGCACTGACTGTTCTTCTAAAGGTCCTAACAGCAATTCCCAGCAACCACATGGTGGCTCACAATCATCTGTAATGGGATCTATTGCCTTCTTCTGGTGTAAAGTCATGCATGCAAATAGAGAACTCGCACAATAAATACATAAATGAATGAATAAATAACCTTTAAAAAGAGTGGAGAAGCACACGGTCACTCTGGACCTGAAAGCATATATTTCAATTATCCCATCTAAGGTTCCTTGTGATAGCTTCAACGTTTTAGTCCTTCCTCTCCTTGCTCCCACTTCCCCAAAATAACTGTACAATCCTAAACACAGAATCTATAAAATGTGTCTCTTACCCCCTGAATGAGGATGTCAGTTTGGAGGTCTGGTTAATCTATAGGGCCTCTGGTAATGGATCAGTATTTATCCCTAGTATATGAATGGACTTTGGGAGCCCATTCCACATAGAGGGATACTCTCTCAGCCTAGACACATAGGGGAGACTCTAGGCCCTACTCCAAATGATATGACAGACTTTGAAGATCCCCCATGGAAGGCCTCACCCTCCCTGGGGAGCAGAAAAGGGATGGGATAGGGAGTCTGTGGGGGCCAGGGGATGAGGGGAGGGACAGGGAACTGGGATTGACATGTAAAATAAGCTTGTTTCTAATTTAAATTTTAAAAGGGGGGAAATGTATCTCTTATATAAAAGAATGAGTTTCAGGTGGATTTACTTAGTTCCTTCAAGTTTTCAACCCAATGATGCTATCCAAACTTAGAATTCAAAACACATTGAAGGTGATATATAACGTGAATATATCTTTGTGATCTGTGCCATACTTGATGATCAATAAATGTTTAACTGAATGGCAACGGAATCATGTAGGAAAGGTCCAGTGTTATCCTTTCCTTCTTTGCTGGCCATTGCCTATCATTCTCACAGAGTTTTCAGTTTCCCTGCAGTGTGCTGCTGATGTCTGTCTCTACACAGAGTAAATACAGAGCATCTCTGACTCATCATCTATCTCCTCTTATGCTCTTATTCCTTGACTCACCCTCATTATTTTTACTTAAAGCAAATGCCTCACTGTACCAATGATGCAGCCACAGGATCATGTGGAATCTGAAAGAACGTAAGTATTTCCGTTGGATTTAAATGTCTTTAAATATAATAACGCACAGTCCTTTTCACTCTAGGGCACAACTAGTTTCCAAGTATAGTGTCTATACATGATTGCTGAGGAAAGGGCTGCATTTGTTTGTCTGCTGCCCAGTGCTCTTATAGATCCGGGCTGGCAAGATGGCTCAGTGCCATCAGTTCAATCATGTCATCTCTGATGCTCCCAGTTCAACCCCAGATCTCACATGGTAGAAGTAGAGAACTGGCTCCTTCAAATTGTTGCAAGTTGTACACACACACACACACACACACACACACACACACACACACACACGCACGCACGCACGCACGCACGCACAGATGATTAAAACCGAAAAACGGGGGTAAATAAATAAATTGCTTTGCCTTTTTCAGTGAGAGTTTCTTATGGAGGAGGAAGGCAAAAGGCTCTCTTCAGGGGCAATGCTGGTTGAAAAGATGGGGAGAAAGCATTTTAGAATTTGAGGACATTTAGAATTCTCTAGGCATTTCTTGAAACAAGGCCAGGGGAGTGTTTCCTTGCTAACGCAGCTTGTCCCTGTGAATTGTAATTTAGAAAAAAAGGCTGGGCTGTGAAGGCAAACAGGAAATGGGTTCTAAATTCCAGACAAAGCAACCCTTGGACTTTAGGAGGAGTTACACACTTCCTTGTGCGTGCTTTTAACACTCAGAACAAAAAATATAAAATGATGGGTGGCAAAGGACTATGCAAATCTTGCTGCTCCATCTGTGTCCAGATGAGTCACAAGTTCAAGATTTTTAGCTGTAATCACACCAACAGAGAGGAAAATAATATACTTAAAGATATATAAAGGACAGAATGTTTATGCACAAGAAAAGCAGAGCAAAGCTAGGCAGGTTGTCTCCCGATTTGGCTTTCCTGCTGTGTGGAGCCATGAAGGTCATTATTAGCAGTTCTCATTTGTTCAAGAATATTGCCTTTCTGAAAGAAGCAAAATGTCAAATGAAGTCAAATTGTTAAGGTCTATCTGAAACAAATTAGTCTGTCACTTAACATTCAGTAATCGCACATTTATAGATGCACTGTCAATAAAAAAGAAATCACAACTGTCACTTCAAAAAAGAAAAGGAAGAGTTTATTTTGGAGCCATATATGAGTGTCCATGGCCCAGTAACACAAATTGAGGTCACTCAAAATTCCATGTTCTAATGACATAGCACTTTCATGATGATTGGGGGGGATTCGCTTGTTTGTTTTGTTTTTGAGATAGGATTTCTCTGTTTAACAACCCTGGCTGTCCTGGAACTCACTCTGTAGACCAGGCTGGTCTTGAACTCACAGAATCAGCCTGCCTCTGCCTCCCAAGAGCTGGGATTAAAAGCATGCATCACTACAGCTGGCTCATAAGATTTTTTAGAAACAGAACAAAAAAAGTCATAAAGAAAAACATTTTTCAAATACACAGGTGGAAACATCAGAGAAGAGGGACTACAGCAAAGGGGGGAGCAACTGTGTTGAAGTTAAAACAGGATATGCCCTCAGCTGCTGCCACTAAGAGCCTATTCACTATGTTCCCTTTTAAAGGGGCCCTACCCACTTTCCATCGCTTTCCCTCTCTCTCTCTCTCTCTCTCTCTCTCTCTCTCTCTCTCTCTCTCTCTCTCTCTCTCTCTCTCTCTCTCTCTCTCTCTCTCTGCTTCCTCTTTCTCTCTGCCCCTCTTTCCTCTCTCCTGTTACTCCTGTCCCCAGAGGCTGGTCTCTCCCATCCCCGTTACCATTTACAATCATTTTCCCTTAATAAAAACCCCTCTGCTTGAACTCTGTCGCATGGTGTCTTTCTCTCGAGCTGCTTTTTTTAAAAAAGTACAACAAGCACAGTTTAAAGCCAAATTTGAAGCAAGTTTTAATTAAATATTGGTCAAGTTCAGACTATGGACACCCCCATGGAGGGCCTCACCCTCCCTGGGGAAATGAGGGGATAATGGGGGGGAGGGCACGGGAGGAGGGGAGGGAAAGGGAGAGGGACCTGGAAATGACTTGTGAAGCAACCTTGTTTCTTATCTAAATTTAAACTGAAAAATAAATAAATAAATATTGGCCAAGTTGATGGACTCTCTGAGTTCCCAGAAAATGGCCATGACTCATGCCTTGTAGGGGTTTAAAAGGGCAACCCACCAGGCCACCGTATTTCCCCCCATCAGATCCAATCAGGGGAAAGCATATATCCTGACATATTTCCTGCCTACTCCCCTCCTCCTGCCTTCTACCTACATCCAATCAGAAGCAAGCATACATTCTGATGGATTTTCTGCCCACATACCTCCCGCCCACAAGTGATCAAGCACATCCAGTGCAGGTGTATATGGGTCAAACCAAGTTGTTTAGAGAAGTGAAAACATGAATAGTCTCCAGCATTTAACTTTGACAATTTGGCTTTGGGGTTTATGGAAGTGAGTGCTCATTAGGTCTCAAAGAAACCCAGGACAAATGGCTAACTGAGGTGCCTATTAACATATCAAAGCAGACAGCAGCTGCTGGCTATCTCTTCTAGTATCACTCAATACCTGCAGCTCCAACCAATACTTCTCACCCTGGCCCTCTATCCCAAATCTTTCTCTCCCAGGAAGCAGCTTCTGCTTCCCTTCCCTCAGCTTCTCTTGCCTATATAATGCAGCCAGCAGTCATTTTGGGTACCTCTCTCTTGGTTGGCTGCTTATCTTTTGCTCTCCCTCCCCCTCGCTCCTCTTATGGTCCAGTTTAGTCTGCCACCATATTCAGCCTGGACTCTTCCCTTTCCCTGCTTTCTCCCTTCTATCTAAAATAAAAATTTTCTCCATATTTTAGTAGTAGTCACGTCCTCCTCCTTTTATTTCATTTTTTTCTAGTGGTCTGTTAAGCAAATACATTGCAAAACGTTTGACTGTCAGTTACAAGGATGTTAGGTCATACACAGAGGTGGACAAGGAATGGCTAAATTTTTAAGAGAGCTAAAGAGAACCGAGATAGATAAATCAAAATTAGGTTCTGGATCCCCAGCATTCCAACTTCTCCATTATTACTGATATTCTAGTCTGTTAATGAGCCTTGCAGAAAAATGAGTAGAAGATATAGCTGCTTACCAGGAACTTTTACATTCACCCCATTAACCATATATTTTTATTTGCAGTGAGGAAGATGTTGCCAGCAATAACCAAGTGGAAAGAAATACTGTATATCACAACACCTCAAAGATGTCATGGTAAGTCCAGTCTAAATGCTACTTTATACTCAAAATTTACTTGTGTTTACAGGAAAACTAACCAAATTTGAAATAAGTTTGCGATAAGACTTTACATGCTAGGTAAATATAATCCAAAAATGCCCATGGAGTTTGCATCTGAACATATAGGTGGGTCTCATTGAGGGTTTTTGGTTAAATTTTCCTCACATTGATTATTCCTACTCTTCACTCATTATGCACTCTGATATTAGGACATACTGGCTCAGGCATATCTAATAAGAGAAAAAGCAATGCAGGATAAATAATCTTCCCTAAGAATAGCTCAATGCATATCACCAATATTTTAAAATATCATTCAATTTTATTTTTTATTTATGTATATGAGTATTTTGACTGCATGCAAGTGCACCATTTATGTGTAGTGTCCACAAAGGCCAGAAATGGGCATCAGATCTCTTAGAATTGGAGTTATAGATGGTTGTGAGCTGTCATGTGGGTGCTGAAAACTGAATCAAAGCCTTCTGCAAGAGCAGAAAGTGCTCTTAACCATTGAGCCATCTCTCCAGGCATAGCACTAACCTTTACATTTTATGCTGTAGCCATTTTTGAAGGAATCTTCATGTGTTTCATAATGTTACTCTTCTGAAAGAATCAAAACGGCCTGACTGAGTTCCTAGAAGCCCTTTGTTAAAGAGCCATTCTCTTATTGCACTAGGTATAAACTCAGCTTGTGAGTGATTTATTTGCCGTTTCGTTTTGCCAATATCTTTCCCAGGTGCAAAGAGGAAATTTAGCAGAAACTTAATTTTGTATATATTGATAAAATAAGTAAGAGTTTTGCTATTGCTGTGCTGGGCACTTGGAATGTTTCTCGATTGACTTGTTTGTTTGGTATTAACATTGTTTCTGGACTCTTAAGGGGATTCCCTGAGTCAAGTTCATCTGAAGAAGAGGAAAATTTGGATGATTACGAGTGAGTGTTGAAAGTCTTATTTCTTCTAAAAGTAGAATTAGATGTATTTGTTTGATTCCTTGAAGTCAATAAAACATTGCTCAGACTTTCATAGCAGGCTATACTCACATGTGTAAATTCATGTGAGGCTCTGAGCCATTTTTCTAAATGGCAAGTGGCAATGAACTTTATTATCAGTTATCAGTGAAGATGTTTTCCCCAGTCTGAACTATCTAAATCTGCTGCATATATTCACTGGATTTATCACATGGTCAGTGTTTTCACTTCATAAATAAAGAATATAATGTTTCTACTCATTATTTGTTGGTGCCCTCTAATCATGTTAATGTTAGGAAGCTCTTACTGAGGCATTTGGTATGATGTACTAACAATAGTACGCTGAACTACTCAGCATTACAGCCTTTATGTTTATAGGAATGGCCTTATTATTTGGCATTCAAATTGAGATCCCTGACAGAAAGACAGATCCCATAGACATGTGTCGTAAATTGTTGATCTGTTCTGGGAAAATAAGAATGAGTGGTCACCCTATTTATGTCCTTGGGTAGGCCTAAGGGCCATTAAAGTTCTTTCCAAATCTCAAGGTTTTCTGTCATTCTATAAGTGTTGATATTATTGTCTCCTAGACTTAAATATTTGTGTTGAAGAAAGATGAGAATAATATAGAATATTGTATTTTGCAGACACTCAATAGTCAAAGAACTATAGAAGGTTTAGAATTCATATGGACACTAGCATACTTACGTTCTCTTTTGAGTGAGTGCTGTTACTGATTTATTAGTTACATGTAAAGTGTGAGGTTTTACAATGAACCTATATGTTTCCTCTTCTCCTTTAACCTGTAATCTACCCTTGTTCTAAGCATATCTCTCACATTAGGGAACATGTGATATATCCTCCATTCTTTTGTGATACTATTTCCCACATTCTAGCCTTCTGTTAACAGTTAACTCTAGCTATCAACTTAATGGAAACCAAGAGTTCACTGGGAAGAGAGAATGTCAATTGAAGAATTGCCTCCTTCAGAGTGGCCCGTGGGCATGTCGGTGGGACATTTTCTTGATTGATGATTGATAAGTGGAAGGGTCCACTACAGCCCACTGTAGACAATGCCACCCCTGGGCAAGCCGTTCTGAATGCTATAAGAAGGCAGAAAGCCATGGAAATCAAGCCAGTAAGCAGTGTTCCTCTGTGATTTCTGCTCTCCAAGAGGAGAGCAAATATTTAAATTGTCAAGGCTTAGGCTTTCACCCATATGTGAACTGAAGCTCTACAACATTGTTTCTACTAGATAAAAATCCCATCTTCTATAAAAATCAAAGATCTCTGAAAAGGAACTTAAGATTTACAGGGCTATATGATCCCACATCTTACTTGACACCCCCTACTTCCTATACTGTCACTGGATCACTTGTCTTATAGTCATGATGTCTTGAGCAATTCTTGATGTCTTGAGCAAGTCTAATTCATTCAAATAAAGACAGAAGCACTGAGATTTAGATGGAAAATCATGTTGGGACTAGAGCTGGGCTTTTTGACATTTTATACGAAATTAAAAAAAAAAACAGAGACAGAGTTCAGCAAAAAATAATGGCACAGGTAACAAGTCTATTCACGTGAAGGTTTAGGAAGATGTGTGTCCTAGATTGCTTCCTGAGGTTGTGATGAAACACTGACCAAAAGCAACTTCAGGGAGGAAGGGATTTAATTGGCTTATGCCTACAGGTAACATTCTGTCACTGCAAGAAATCAGGGCAGGAACTTGAGCAGGAATTTGAAGGCAGAACTGCTTGCTAGTCCATATAGCATCACCCCCAACCAGGGAACTCTCTCACAGCCAAGAAGGCACAGCAGAAACCATGGGTGGCTTGGTGGCTTGCTCAGAGCCTTGCTTGTTCAGTTTTTGGATTTTTGTTTTGTTTTGTTTTTTGGTTATTTGGGGGGGTGTTGAAACAAGGTCTCTCTGTGTAACAGCTCTGGATGTCCAGGTACTCACTCTGTAGACCAGGCTGGCAGAAATCCACCTGCCTTTGCTTCCCTAGTGCTGGGATTACAGGCTGGGCCACCACTGCTCAGATCACAGAATCTTGCTTAGGTAGCTTTCTTATACAGCCCAGTACCACTTGACCAGGAAATGGGGCTATTCTCAGAGGGCTCGGTTTTCCTGTATCAACTAGCAACTAGGACAATTCCCACATATATGTCCACAGACCAGTCTTATCTGAGCAATCATTCAATTGACACTCCCTTATCAGGTGACTCTAGGCTGTGCTAAGGCTAACTAGGACAATGCCATATATATATATATATATATATATATATATATATATATATATATGTATGTATGTATGTATGTATGTATATACATATATATATAATCTCACCTTACATGTCCAAGTACTTGTCTTTATTCATGATCCTTTCTTTTTTTCTAGCTATCCATCCACCGGTATATAGCCCAGATCAGGGCTTTTAAACTTTTCTGCTCACAGACTTTTTTTTTAACCAGAAAAGGGTTTGTGACCCTCCCAGGTATATAGGATTATAAAATAAGTATAGGAACCAATAATAATAAGTCATAAGGAATTTTGTTTTAAAACCATTCTTTGATATATCTATAACTTGGTCATTTATTAAATATGAAAGCAAAGTTGCTTGTTTACATTACAGAAAGAAATAGACCTTAGTTAAATATCCGATAGTAAAGGAAGAACATCTTCAAAATTTTACAGAATTGATTTTTTAAAAAAAATGTTTTTATATTATTTTATGTGTATGGGTATTTTACCTGTATATATGTGCAACACTTATATGCCTACTGCCTATGGAAGAGGAAAGTCTGTTCTAATGCTAAACCAAAATTCATTGAATAATATATTAAATGAAACTCCAGTAAGCAGCTCAAACAGCAATCATTAGAATGAAACAATCCAATAAAATGCAATGCAAAGATATACCAATTTGGGCTGGAGAGATAGCTCAGTGGTTAAGAGCACTGACTGTTCTTCCAGAGGATCGGGGTTCAATTCCCAGAAACCACATGGTGGCTCACAACCATTTATAATGAGATCTGGTGCCCTCTTGTGGCTCGCAGAAATACATGACAAACACTCATATATAAAATATAAATAAAAACATTTAAATATATACCAACTTGATACTTATATGTTAAGAAATGATGGTAGGAAAAGATTAAATCTTTGTTTTCAGTAATTAAACCATTATGTTTCCATGAGAACAGAAAACTTTGTATGTGTACTACAAATACTGTGATACATAAAACACAATGACCTTGACTCTGGCCTGTGCTGTTTCAGACAGCATTTATTGGTGTTGTGCACCATATTGTGTGTTCAGAACAAGGCTGCAGTTAAGTTGTGTGATGCAACACAGTTGAGCACTACCAGAAATACCAGATCCATTTCATGTTTAGTTTTAAGGCAATTTTTGACTGCTACACTTTCAGGAACCTTTTGCTATCACCATTTTTGTGTCTTACATCATATTTTCTAAATGGCCTTTAGATTGACTGTTATGACATTGAAATATGAGTTAAAAAGGAAACTATCGTTAATTCCTCAAGTGTTACTTATACAACATGCAGCATTTTTACAAAAGGCTGCTCAAGATGAGCCCTGTGATAGCTAATCTCGGTTGTCAGTTTGACACACCTGGGAAAAGAGAGTCTGCCTGAGAAATTGTCTTCCGGCCGGCATTTTCTTCATCGCTAATTGAGATGGAGGGCCGGTCCACTGTGAACTGTAACTAGGCAAGTAGTCCTAAGTCAGATAAGAAAGCTAGCTGAGCATGCCAGCAGAAGCTAGCCAGAAAACACTGCTCCTCCACTGGTTTTTGCTCCAAGCTTCTGCCTGAGTTCCTGCATTGGTTTCCCTCAATGAAGGAAATACACAAATAAACCATTTCCTCCCATCTTGCTTTTGACCATCATGTTTCACAGGATACCCTCCTTCCTAATTTTACAGATAGAAAAGTCTGTGGTCAAAAAGGCTAAGAGACTTGTTCAGAGTAAACTACACAAATCTCCAAACTGTCTGGTCTAAGAACCTTTCCACTTTATTGAACTGTCCAGCTGCTGTTATCCCTCTCTCCGTTAATATAGATGTCATACAAAATACCAGTTCCCACTCATTGGGAAGACACCTTCCGCACTGCTTTTTTCCCACAAGCCTTCATGCCCACCTTCACTCTTCTGTACTTGTTTTTTCTTCAGGTGTTATCTTTAGCCACTTCCTCCTGATTCACCAAACCCATGCTCCGTTGTACCTCATACCCTGCTTATTCCCATATGTGACATTTTAGCCCAAACCAGATGGCCATAGACATAGATAGCTAACCTCACATGACACACAATTTTTTAATTGAGCTTCACATACAAAGTAAGACATGATGTTCTTGGCTCATTAATTCAAAGAGCAAAGGTTATTTTTCTTTTTAAAGAAAAGGAATTCTAATTGACTTTCCCACATATCTCTGCATCCTGTCTGGATATCATCTTAGATGACTATCTTCCTGCTCAGAAGAAAAAAAATAAAGCATTTACTTTGAAAATAGTTTATATAAAATGTTCTTCTATCGGGTTATTAAAATAAAATGTGCTGGGGTAGAAAGACAAGAGTGTTTGTCTTAGCCTTCCTGACTTTCCCACTGGCTCATCATCGGTCTAATCTCTGATCCTTATTCAAAATAGTGAAATGGAGGCTAACTTAGAAGTCACCTAAAAGGACTGTAGCAGCCTATTCACAGCTTGATATTATGCAGACCTCATCCCAGAAGTAGATTGGCCAATGGAGACTAAGAAACTGGGTTTTGAAAATATCCTCGGGTAATTCTGTCCAATGGAGACTAAGAAGCTGGGTTTTGAAAATATCCTCAAGTAATTCTGTCCAATAATTAGGTTTGAAAATCCATGATATAGGCCAATGCCTCATTTTGCAGACGAAAAAGTTGATAGACAAGTCATATAATTGAAAAGTTATTGATTCTGAAATCCAGAATTCTTTTGCAGCTGGTTTGCTGGGAATATCTCCAGGTCACAATCTGAGCAGTTACTGAGACAAAAGGTAAATAGTCTTCTTTTCCTCACCTTAAAGAATCTCTCTCTCTTTCTCCCCCCCTCCCCCCTCCCTTCCTTTCTCCCTCCCTCCCTCCGTGTGTGTGTGTGTGTGTGTGTGTGTGTGTGTGTGTGTGTGTGTGTATGTGTGTTATTATGTTAAGGGTGCATTCCTACCACTAGGCTACACCTTCAGTCCAAGAATATCTGTCTCTGGCTGGCTGGACCCAGTGGTGAATGTTTTTCTCTGAGAAACATTATAGTTAATGTTTCAACTTGCCATGACATTGGCTGTCCATCCTTTGAGTTACTATGGTCTCCTTTTGCCTTATCTATTGCTATATAATAAACCACCTCAAGCTGTAGGTGACACTCCAGTTACTGAGTGGCTTTCTGTCCCTTTGCCATGTACTCAATAACCTTTTCTTTAAAAATAAACCACTGCAAAACTTAGTGGCTTGAAACAAGATTTTGGATTTCTCACAATTCTGTGCGTCAGCTGACCCACTTCAACGTTTTGCTGATGAATGGTTGAAGGTGGGCAGCTGAGATTGTCAACTGGGGTGCCACAGTCCTTCCTTATGTAGCTTCTCCAAGCACCTGGTCTGGGCCATTCTCACAGAATAGAAAACCTTCCAAGAAGCGATTCTCTGCTTTATCAGCATTGACTAGTTTCCTGTTGGCTACAGGAAGTCACATGACCCATCCCAAAGTCAAGGTGGGAGGAGATATCACAGAATCACCAATAGGAAAGATGATTCCATTTTTCAGGACTGGAGATGGAACCTATATGCTAGCACATGCTAGGCATGCTGTTAAGAGACACCATGTCCAAGGCAACTAATATAAAAAATAGTTTATTGGGGTTTTGCTTACTGTTTCAGAGGATTAATCCATGACCATCTTGGTGGAGAACATGGCAGCAGGCAGGCATGATGCTGGAGCAGTAGCTGAGAGCTTACGTGTTAAGAAAGCAACCACGAGACAGAGCACCAACTGGAATGGTGTGGACTTTTGAAACCCCAAGCCCCCCACCCACAGTGACACACCTCCTCCAAAAAGGCCACACCTCCAAATCCTTTCCAAACAGTTCCACCAACTGGGGACTAATAATTCAAATATGAGCCTATGGGGGCCATTCTCATTTAAAAAAAACACACACATGTGCTCTACTACTGAGCTATGTATCCTAAGTCCAAGAAAAATGATGCAATGTGGAGTATCAATATAATTACTTTCCTCAGCTGATTTTCACTGTTCATTAGCACCTAAACCACAACATAGCAGATGTGATATGGAATTGATTTATTTGATTTTGTTGCTAATTGGCATTAACTTGCCTATACTAAATTCTTTTGATCTATGAAATTGATACTTTGGGACAATTGAGTCTAATAAAACACTAAATACACAAATTACATTTTGAGATGTGCTCAATACAATGTGATAGGTTACACGGCAAGTTGTTATATTCACAGTTTATTATGGTCTTTTTTGAACCTGGCACTGGTTAAAGTTGGAATAAATCCTTCAAAAGACAAATAGAGGACACAACTTAAGCAAAGTATTTATTGTTCATTGCTAATTTTCTCAGCTATTTCCAGAATATGATTATAGTGGTGTGTGTGTGTGTGTGTGTGTGTGTATGTGTGTGTGTGCGCGCGCGCGTGCACGCGCGCGGGCACCTAAATTTTATTTCTCAAACAGGGAAACATTAAAATTCCATAAGTATAAAATAAAACAAAAATGTTAGAGAGTTTCCAGTTATCTAGAGAAGAGTTTGCCTAGGATGGGTCTATAAAGATACCGACTTGGTTGAGGATAAAACTCAATGGTAGAACACTTGCTTAGCAAAGGTAGGGCCCTGGGTTCCATCCCCAGTACCAAAAAAGAAAAATGGAAAAAGGAAGTAAGGGATGGGAAGGAAGGAGGAAGAGGTGGAGGGAATTGAGCGACAAAAGGAAGAAAGCTAAGCTGTAGAACAAACCTTCTGTGCCAACTGTTGGGTAACCTGTCCCTTTGATGGCGTTTAAAGTGAATCTAAAAATATTTTTTACTTACTGCCTACATAAAAATCATTTTCAAAGTAATGAAAATCATTTCTTGTTTTCAGGGAAAAGAAGGAGCATTTATGGTTAGAAATTCCAGCCAGATAGGCATGTACACGGTGTCCTTATTTAGTAAGGCTGTGAAGTAAGTACAATGTAGATTCATGTCTTTTATCCTCTTGTGACTGTTTGAAAACAATGACCACTTAGTCATAGTCTGAGATATGAGTGAACTCTGGAGTTTGGGATTAAAGTATTTGTGTTGAATCTAGCCATTAACAATTGTCTTCTTACCCTCTACTTTCAAAAGCATGTGCTCTGAGTGACCCTCACCTGTCCTCTGCAGATAATGGCAGACTGCTGTGAACACAACACACCTCCATAAACATTTACGGAAACAGCAGCATGAGCCCCTTGGAGTCAGGCCCGAGCAGAAAGAACACTAGAAACTAGCAATAGCACTTCTAAATAAAAGATAAACCTGCCTGCTGAGCTGTGAAGCTTGTTCCAGTGCCCAGTTCTCAGTGAGCCTTTCCTGGGGGGTTGAACCAAGGGAGCTGTATCCTGAGTAGCTTCCACCTGCCTGCTGCCCTTTGCAGGAAAGAGTTCAAGTTCAAAGTCAACTTCTCTTCCCAGTTCAGGCTTTTACTATGTTGAGCAAGTTTCTTAACTGTTCTGGACCTGAACTTCCTCATTTGAAAGGGATTCATAATAATGATCTTTAATGCAGTCAACGCAACAAGATGTTGTTAAATAAAACAGCAATGGTTACTGGGAATTAGGCCCATGACCAATTACACATGATTAAAATTTTTCCCACATTCACATCCGTAGTCCTCGTCCAAAGATTGTGTGTCCATCCAACAGGAAGTCACAGTATTTAAATTCACCAACCTAACTTTGAAGTGGCAAAATGTAAACTAAAAGCCTTAATTAAGGTGGTACAATTTTGTATAGCTTATTGTCCACAGTTTAATGAATTTGGATTGCTGTGCAAGGACTGGCATTATAATACTACCTACTTGAATGCCCTTTTTAAAATGTCTTTTATGTAATGTTTTAACAGTGCTAGTAAAAAATACGGGTTTGCCTTTTTTAAAAAATTATTTTTTATGTTCTATGAATGAAATAATTTAATACTCATATTAGATTAGGCTACTGTCTGGCACATGGTGACACCTAATTAAGGACTAGTCACTGTTCATGGTGTTGCTGAAAGAGCAGGCTTGCATGCCTGACACTTCAGTGTGTAAGGCTTCTGAGAGTCATCTGTCAAAGTCATCATCATCATAAGCCCCTCCAGAAGATAGTTTTCTTGAGGCAGAGACTCACTATGTAGCCTCCAACTCTTGAGTCTCCCACCTCTGTCTCCCCAGGGCTGGAATTACAGGCATGTACCTTCCAGAGCTTTATAAATCACTTTCCCGCGGGCTAGTACCTTTTTTATTCCTTGTAAAGCCCCTCCAGAGTAAATAGGAATACTGTTCTTATTTGTCCCCTTTTCAGGTGAGGAAACTGGGGTTCAAAGGGAGCTTAAAGACCAGTCTGTGAAACTGAATAAGTGACCAATCCAAAGCTAGGCCACCAACAAACAAATTACCAAGCTATATTTATTTATAATATGTCTGTGAAACCATCAGTGCTTGGGAGCTCGGGGGTCAGACCAATACTTAATTGATTTGGACCATTTGAAAGAAATAGTTCTTAATAGCTAGACTGAATGACTTGTGGAGATGTGTGTCCCCTCCCACAGAGGATGCATATGTATTTGCAATAATTACATGATGAAGGTAATTTATTTTGATATTTGTGTTACAGAATGCCTACTTCCAACTTGAAATAATAGGGTATATCTTGAATGGTCATACAGCATTTGCCAATACAGGAATCCATGTATCTAATAAGCACATATACTAGATTTTACATGGGTCCTGCATGGAACAAATTCAATAACTAGAGAACAGTCTGCTCACTGAGTGTCAAAACAGCTGTGGCCCTCTGCACAGAGTCAAATGCATTGTTAGGTGTCTTCCTTTTTTGGGCCTCATCATCCCTACTGGGAGCTGATCCAGTAGAAAAATGTAAAATAGATAAGCAATTAAATGAAAGGAGTAGCCTTTTTCAAAAACTTTGAGGTAATAATTTAATTACATTTCTTCCTTGGTCCCTGATCGCCTTCAAATTCATGACCTGTTTTTTTCATCAATTGTTATTGCATGTACTTATACTTATATACTTATATATTCATAAATAGAACCTGTTGAGTCCATGTGATGCTGCTTGTATATGTGTTTCCAGGGCTGATCATTTGTCACTGGAAAACCAATGATTGTGCTCTTCCCTGAGGACTGCCTCTCCTGCTCCCAGATCTCCTCAGTTGCCTGGAGTTCTTTGTATAGGATTGAGGGCTCATGGCATTTTTCCCATCCAGTATGACATGTTCACTGGTGTCATTCTTGTTCAACTCACGCTTGTGAGAATTTTTGGGGGTAGCTCCTGGCTTTCCTAGGAGACACAATCTCACAGCAAACTCCCTGATCCTCTGGCTCTTACAATCTTTTAAATCCCCTCTTCCACAGTTTTCCCTGAGCCTTGTCTTAGGTACAGTAGTTTTTATAGGTACATCCATTTGGACTGGGAAAGAAAAACTCTTTTATGAAATGTCATTGACTTATACTGACACCAAAAGCAGATCAGCCATTTACAACACACCTGCGTACGTACACACACACACACACCAGTCTCAGCCAATCTTTATAAAATCCAGAGGAAATAGCAAGTGAGTGTTAGAACTGGACTCTAAAACCTAAGACAGGCATATTATTCCTGATTGGTCTGAATTAGTATGTATGAACTCATCCCAATATTCTAGAAATGGAGGAAAAGAAGAAAACGTTTTATGTGGAATGTATGTGTAATATAGTTATTGGATCATAGCATGTCCTGGAACATAGCAAACACCTGATAAACTGATGGTAACAATAGTATTGTTGCTGCTGGTAAAAAGGAGTCCTAGGTTAAGAATTTAAGTATATCCCTGTGTTTTTCTTCCTGCATGCCCTACTCCCAAAGGAACTCTAGGGTGAATATACGCATAACCTAATCACCTTTGTACACACAGTTTTCTCCCCATTATCTTAAAAGAGAATGTATCTTCTCACATGATCCTAATGAACATCAAGGCTCTTATCCATCAAAAACAAATTCTGTATATTCTACTTTTATGATTGCTAAGGGAGAAACAGTGCAAGAAATTGTTTTCCAATAATAATAATTATTGTTATAATTATTAAAATAATAATAATTATTATTATTAAACTGTCCTGGTGGATGCTCATGTGTGAAAGTTAGAGGAAAATTTGTAAAAGTCAGTTCTCTCTTTCCACCATGTAGAATTAAACTCAGTTGTCCTGGTTGGCTACAGGTACCTTTATTGGCTGAACCGTGTTCCTAGAACCTAAAATTTAAATTTTATTGAGCATGAATTTTGTGTATGCACAATGGACACACTGAATTCAGATAGGATCCCTCTTCCATCATTACTAATTGTCATGGATGCTTGCAGAGAAACACCAGATGTCAAGTCTGAGTAATTACCCCTGTCTTCCTACTCCAACATTTGCAAATAGATTCAAAATAATTATTCACCGATTATTTCATCAAAATCTTATTGTTTAAAGCATAAAGCATTCTAACATTGTCTTTCTTCCTTACTAGTGATAAAAAAGGAACTGTCAAACATTACCACGTGCATACTAATGCTGAAAATAAATTATACCTGGCAGAAAACTACTGCTTTGACTCCATTCCAAAGCTCATTCACTATCACCAACACAATTCAGCAGGTAACTTATTTAAGGTTTTCCTTTATGGGACCTCACATATAAATGTCATTTTTTTGGATACCACTGATCCTCTTAATATTCTTGATTAATAGGATACCAAGAAATGAGGGGGAAATGCTATCAATCTGTTATGATTTGTAGCTCATACCTCCTCAGATATAACACAGTACACTCCATAAGAAACCAAAAAGGAATAAAGTTGAATAAGTGACTTAAAAGAAAAATTCTTTTTTTTGCAGTTTATCTATTTTTAGTTATGTTTGTATTATGCATATGAATGCAGTGCCCACAGAGGCCAGAAGAGGGCATCAGATCCCCTAGAGCTACAGTTACAGATGGTTGTGAACCACCCTAATGTGGGTTCTGGGAATCAAACTCAGGTCCCCTGGAAGAGCAGCACAATGCTCTTAACCACTGAAGCATCTCTCCAGCTCCAAAAGGAAAATTGTTCTAATGAAACTTTATTTCTAGGTTTTTCCTTGCTCATAAAAGCAAGCTGATTATAAAATTCAAATATTAGAGAAATGTTCATCATTGGATGGGTAGCCTCTCAGAACAGGGCGATGTCAATAATGTTTTATAAGGATACTAATATTTCTTATACAAGAATTACATATCCATAAAAATTATACTTTATAGAGATAAGATCATTATCCACATACTGCTCAATTTGTTTTCCTTACTAACACTAAGGACTTTCCATACAAATATTCATGGCTCACCTTGATCTCTTTAACAGCTGTGTAGAATTCCGTTACATTTTGCAGTAGCCTTCTGGTATTAGCAGTGGATAATGTGTGATATTTTTACATTTTAATGGATATTTTATTGTATAGCACTGCACACACAGCTCTGTACATTCACTTGAATGATTCTATTGCTAGTTTCTGAGACAAAGACTATGAAATTGTCAAACGGTTTGCAGAAGGGCACAATCCTACTAATAACCTTTTTCATATTTAACAACACAAGATACTGCTTTTCTCTTAAAATTTTGCCTAATTAATGAGTATATCTGTTTTCTGTAATAGTACCTCTATGAGGGGCTATAGTATATGTCATGTACATGTATGTGTATGCATATATGTGTATGTATATGCATATGTGCGCATGTGTGTAAAAGCATGAAGTATGTGGTAGTTTGAATAAGAATGATGGCCACAGGCTCATATATTTGAATGCTTATTCACAAGGAATGGCAATATTTGAAAAAATTATAAGGAGTAGGAGGTGTGGCCTTGTTGGAGTAGGTGTGGCCTAGTTGGAGGAAGTGTATCACTGAGAGAGTGGGCCTTGAGGTTTCAAAAGCCCTTGCCAGGCCTATGTTCTCTCTCTCTGCCTATGGATCAGGGTGTAGCTCTCAGCTATTGCACCAGTGTCTGCCTGCATGTCATCATGAGCCTCACCATGATAACAATGGACTAAGCCTCTGAAATGGCAAGCAAGCCACCAATTAAGTGTTTTCTTTTATAAGAGCAACCTTAGTCATGGTGTCTCTTCATAGCAGTAGAACACTAAGACAAGGTCAATATTGCATACCTCTCTCATTACTCTCCACCTAATTTTTTGAGACAGGATCTCTCACTGATTAGCTAGACTGACTGGCCAGCAATCTCCAGGCATCTGCCTGTCTTTGTCTTCCCAGTGCTAGAATTAAAGATATGCACTCTGATGCAAGATTTCTACATGGATACTAGGGATCTGAACTCAGGTCCTTGTGCTTGTAAGGCACTCCTGTAACTGAGGCATCTCCCAGGTCTGTAACAGTATCTGTTACAGGAAGTGACTTGGTGAATTTCCAACAGTGAGTGAAAATAAACCACGGGCTTGGCATCTAAGCACAGATGCCACTTTATTGCAATTCCTTTTGGTTCTTGTTTGTATTTTTCTTTTTCTCAAATTTCTTCAGTTGTTTATCTTAACCAATAGCATCTTTTGGCAAAGTTATTCTACTAACAGTTATCTCTAAATGAACAATTGAACCATAGAGGATACACAGGGTATAAAAAAGATATTAAAATGTTGATTTAGCATTGTGTTTTCTAAATATCATTTCATTAAATCTTCAGTTTGTTACTGTATTTTATGGTTACACAATGGTTATTACAACAGTAATTGTACATATACATATTTCAAAATAAGGTGTTAATTTCTAATTTATTTATTTTTAATTAAAATATTTTATCACAAAGACAACACATTTCTAATAGAAATAATAAAATGCAAAGTACTTTAAAAATAATCATAATTTGTCTTACCCAGAAGTCATATCTATGTTTATTTTTATATATGTACAAACATATAACATATATTTCTATATGCTTTTGCAAAATAAAAACTTATGCTATGCATGCTGGCATTTATTTCTCCTGATTAAATGGATGGTATTGAAAACATTTGGTGAACGCTCCTAAAAAGAAAACAAATACCTAAATAAAAGGAAGGGAAAACACATGTGTGGTAGTTCTGATCAGGAAACCATCCTATGCCTAAAGCAATAATAATTTACTCTTTTGAGTGGTTTCTTTAAAAACACTGTAAGCATGATGTTTTTAACCCAACTTCCCCAAAGGTATGTGTTGATGAACATGGCTTGAGCATTTAAGAATTTAGAAATAGATTTAATATTAAGACTAATTGTTTTATATGTAAATATATGTCTACTATTTGAGCTCTGTGAGGTTTCTTGCTATTTATATGCATATGTAAATGTAGAACTGGAGAAAGACAGTTAAATATGAAAGAGAAAAATCTTTATGTAAAATATTCCACCTAGCAACCAATCCCTATGGAATTTCACACAAAGTAACTGACTCTTTTAGATTTTGTTTATGCATGCAGTGCATCTGTTGAGTCAAATAACTGAATACAAGGATTAGATGAAAATACTCAGCATCGATTCTCTTTCTGCATCATGACCCCCCACCAAGCCCCACATTTTCAGTTTACTGGAAGAGTGTGAAGTAATTCTATCTAACATGATATGATGATAATGTGACATTATACTGTTGATTCCATTGCAGGCATGATCACACGGCTCCGACACCCAGTGTCAACCAAGGCCAACAAGGTCCCCATGTCTGTGGCTCTGGGAAGTGGTATGGACACACCCTTAGGCCCTTAAACTCCATTTCCCATCATTTGGAGTTCAAGTACATGTGATTCAAACCTAACTGACACATAATGGATGACAGGAAACAAGTCCCCTCTCAGACTGCACCAGGGAGAAATTTAGTCTAATTTATTTCATTCATTTATTTTTTTAAACAAACTATTCACACCTAACTCTGTAATCTCCCCCGCTGTCTCCCCAACTGTCAAGCATTTGTTCTTACCAGATATTGCCTCCAGCATCTCTTACCTGTCCTTTCTTTTTAACTGCTCCTATTTGGAGCTAGTTCTCAGGCTGGTACTTTTAGGATAATAACATCCACCTTGAACACAGTTTAATCTGTTTTATATGAAAAAAATCTAACAATGGTTTACCAACCTGAGAGCATTAAACACAATTTGACGTTGACTCTCACTAAGGATTTTTTAAAGTTATTAACTCCAAATGATGTCTTATTGGCTTTTGTTTTGTGGATACAAAAAGCTCATTGCAGAAGAAATCACTTTGGGAGTTGATGACACGACTTCTAAAATGTATGCCTCCTTAGGAATTTGGGAACTGAAACGAGAAGAGATTGCCTTGTTGAAGGAGCTGGGGAGTGGCCAGTTTGGAGTGGTCCAGCTGGGCAAGTGGAAGGGGCAGTATGATGTGGCTGTAAAGATGATCAAGGAGGGTGCCATGTCAGAAGACGAATTCTTTCAGGAGGCCCAAACCATGATGTAAGTCTCTCCTTAGGAGTGGCAATGTTGAATCTCCATAGGAGATTGGCAGTAGCTGTTCCTAACATTTGCAAAGTCTGGCCAGTGCTGTAAATATAAACATTTAAGAGTACTAATTTGGCTCAACAAGCAGTTAAATCAAATTAATGCTATGCCCCTAATTTGACAAATAGGCCTGCATAACACCTTGAATGACCATGTTTGAAGTCAGAATATTTCTGACTGTATTGAGAAAAACAGCCTTTAGCCTCTGTGCCTTTGAATTCTCTACTCTTTTTTTGTTTTGTTTTGTTTTTGGAATTCTCTACCCTTGATCTTTCTCCTGCTTATAACATTGTCCTGTGCTATAAAGGGTCTTAGTAGTTACATGTAGGGACAGCACTCAGTATATCTAAATTCCCTTTACATCTCCCACAAACAACTATGTGGTTCACCCTTGAAGAAACAGACTCAAGTACGGTCTCCAGCAAGTCCTTCATCCTTAGAAACACTTTTTTTTTAACTTTTTTATTTAAATTAGAAACAATCTTATTTTACATGTCAACCCCAGTTACCTCTCCCTCCCATCCTACCCATGCCCCCCACCGCCCCTCTTTCCCACTCCCCAGTGAAAGTGAGGCCTTCCATGGGGGATCATCAAAGTCTGTCAAATCATTTGGGGCAGGGCCTAGGCCCTCCCCCATGTGTCCAGGCTGAGAGAGCATCTCTGTGTGTGGAATGGGCTCCTAAAGTCCATTCGTATACTAGGGATAAATACTGATCCACTGCTGGTAGCCCCATAGATTGACTAGGCCTCTTAACTGACACCCACTATCAGGGGGTCTGGGTCGGTCCTACACTAGTTTCCCAGCTGTCTGATTGGTGTCCATTAGTTCCCACTTGCTCAGGTCAGCTGTTCTTAGAAACACTTCTAACCCAAGTAAAACAGCATGGCTGGTCACTCTTTTAGAAAACTAATCAGAGAAGATCAAAAAGTGTTACATCAAGGTCTTGGTCAGATGGCTCAGTCAATAAAGTGCTGACATTGCAACGTGAGTTCATTCCTTTGAGCCTACATAAAAACAGCTGTGCACACTGATACATGCTTGTGATCCCTGAACTGGGGAGGAGACAGATGGATCTCTGTAGTTCACTGTCTAGCCAGCCTTGTCTAATGGAGAAATCTAAGGTTGCAATGAAAGACCTTGTCTCAAAAACAAGGATTTACCCAAGGTTGACCGCTCTCCTCCATCACACACAAAACAGTTGAACTTTGCAGATCCCAACCAATGTCTGTTATTGTGACAAAGACCGTAACCAAAAGCCAATTGGGGAAGAAAGTGTATATTTGACTTACATACCCATATCTAGTGAAAGAACTATTCAACAGTTTACCGAGACTTCTTATTGGCAAATAAATACTCCACTGCCCAGGGAGTTACAGCACTCACTTCACCATAACTGAAGAATTGATCAAAAGTAAAGATGCAACATGAATACAAGCCTTTGACCAGGACTGTCAGCAAGGTCCTTCAGTACTTGCTTTAATGCTCTGCTTTCACTGTTGCAAAATGATACTTTTTTGTTTGGTTTGTGTTTTTGAAACACAGTTTCACTTTGTAGCCCAGGGTAGACTATAAGTTACTGTATAGCCCAACTTAGCCTTAAAATCACAGCAAGGCCCTGACTCATAGCCCTAAGTACAGGGAAATACAGGTGTGAGTTATTACATGTAGCTCAAATTAAGTGGTAAACAATTACTTTTTCCCTATTCGTATTTTTCCTGGAACCTGCAAATTATGTGGCTGATTCTGTCCTTTGTATTGAAACTGTTACAAAAAGCTAAAGAAAGTTCCTTGTCATCTGCCTTTCATAAAACATAAAATTCTTTAAAATTTTTTTCTTGGGTACATGGTACAGCTGGTGTCTCCTGGTAAAATATTAAAGTGCATTTTTGTCACTAAAGAGTATTATAATCTGTAAAACTGATTCAAGGTCTTGGGAGGTAGAAACAGAAGCCTCCCTGGGGCTTACTGGCTAGTCAGCCTGCTTCGAGAGCTTCAGGACAGTGAATGACCCTATCTCAAAGGAGATTGGTGGCCTTTCTGAAGAAGACATCTGACGTCCTTCGGCCTCCACACACAAACATACATGCATTTGTTCTCTCTCTCTCTCTCTCTCTCTCTCTCTCTCTCTCTCTCTCTCTCTCTCTCTCTCTCTCTCTCTCTCTCTCTCTCTCTGCATGCACACTCACACACACACACATTTTTTTCTTTTATCATTTTTTATTTTAATTTTAAATAGCTTGTTTTACATGTCAATCCCAGTTCCCTCTCCTTCCCCTCCTCCCGCACTCCCCTTCCCCCCAGCCTCCCACCCTATTGCCAATTCCTTCCACATAGGGGATATCTAGAGTCTGTCATTTCACTCTGGGTAGGGTCCAGGCACTCCCCTAAGAGTCCAGGCTGAGAGAGCATCCCTCTTTGTGCTATGGGCACACGATGACTGTTTGTATTCCAGGAATAGACACTGATCCACTGCTCAGGGCCCCATAGGTTGCCCAGGCCTTCTCGCTGACACTCACATTTGGGGGGTCCAGATCAGTCCCATGCTGGCCTCCCCGCTGTCGCTCTGGGGTCCAAGAGCTCTCCCTTGTTCAGATCAGCTGTCTCTGCTGGTTTTGCCAGCCCATTCTTTGCCAATTTGCTCATCACTCCTCTCTCTCTGTCACTGGGTTCCTTGGGTTCAGTTCAGTGCTTAATTGTGTGTTTGCCTCTGCTTCCATTAATCACTGGATGAAGGCTCCCGGATGGTTATAGACATCAAGTTCATTATCAGGAATGGGCATTTGAGGTGGTCTCTCCACTATTGCTTAGCTTGCCAATTGGTGTTATCCCTTTAGATCACTAGAGGTCACTCTGGTGCCTGATCTGTCTTCTAACCTATGATTCCCTCTTCCCCCTATTCTACCCCCACCCACTCAACTTCCTGTTCCCCCATGACCTACTCTCTCTTCCTCTTCTCCCCTCTCTTCTTCCCAGCTCCCACTCCCCCCAACCCCTCACCGTGTTCCCCATCCATTCAGAAGATCTTGTCTCAATCCTCTTCTCTTGGGTACTATGCATATATGCATATCTTTTAGGTTCTTTCCTGTTTCCCAGACTCTCTATCAGTGGAAGTGCAGACTGGCACTATCCTGATCCATGTCTAAAATCCATATATGAGTGAGTACATACCATGTTTGTCTTTTTGCGACTGGGTTACCTCACTCAGGATGGTTTCTTCCAGTGCTGGATAACACACACACATTTTTAAAAATCAGAAAAAGGAAGTGAAAACAAAAGAAGATATAAAAAAGAGAGATTATGTGCGGTCTCACTTCCCCAAACAGCAGCCATTTTTATGCTATGTACACCCTTCAAATTAGAATACTTCTTCTACACATGACACTATCCTAATTCTCAAGAGAAAGAGCGAATGAAGCATGTCCAGACTAAGAGCACTGCTGAGTGGCTACCAGACTCACTAGTATCGGACGTGAGGCAAGAGCACTGTTTCCTTTTGTGCCTCCAAAGATTATCCTAGTCCCAAAACAACATCCAAAGTTCCCAGGTCTCTTTCTCTGTTCAGGTGGAAGGAATTAGAATCTATTCACCCTTGTTCAGGCCATCTCAAAAATGAACTTTTCAAATCGATTCTTTTTCAGGAAACTCAGCCATCCTAAGCTGGTTAAATTCTATGGAGTGTGTTCAAAGAAATACCCCATCTACATAGTAACTGAGTATATAACCAACGGGTGCTTGCTTAATTACCTGAAGAGTAATGGGAAAGGACTGGAAACCTCCCAGCTCTTAGAAATGTGCTACGATGTCTGTGAAGGCATGGCCTTCTTGGAGAGCCACCAGTTCATACATCGGGATTTGGTAAGGCAAGCTGTTGGAAGGTCACTGATGAATGAGAGAACAAAGCCAACAGTTCCCTCCTCTAGGGGTAGGGCTGCTGAGACGGCTGACTTCACTTTTACTTTGCACACTTGTGACTGGTGTGGGCATGTAATCGTTTTGCAATCCAAATATCACAATCATAGAGTAAAACATTTGAAACTCGGAAAGGTCAGAGTAAAATGAGTCATGAGGATCTCCATTGCTACCTGTGCTGTGGTATGAAGAGCAGATGGAAAGACTTGGGCCAATTTTGTGTTCCTCAAGACCATTAAACTGAAGTTGACCTTTACTCTGAAAAGAGCAGGTTGATTGATAGAAAAACTAAAAATACAAATAAAAGTTAGATGGAAATGAAAGTGTGTGTTTGGGTTATGGTAGGAGTTCCAAGTACTGTTTGCTATTCGCTGATCTTAACTTCAGGGATTTGCTTGTGTTGAATAGCAAGCGTACTGCACATACCAGGCCAATGCATCTCATAAGTCCTGAGTGTAGCATGCACGACTCCTGAGCATCTGTGAATGCACAGGATCTAGTGGAAGGTATTTTGGCTCTCTCCTTGCTAAGATGAGATTCTGTGTTTAAGTATATTTCCAATAGGTTCATATGGTTGGGTAAACAGACTTATGCAAACATGTTTTCATTTAGAAAAATTGAAAGTTACAAGGGATTTCAAAAAACATTTCAGAACAGTTGGGATTGTGATAGGCTGTGTTGGATTTTGCTGAAAATGAAGCCAAGGAGAAGCAAAAGTCTGGGTCTTATATCAGGAGATTCTTGGTTGCTTTTACTACTTAAAGACTTTGCTTTCCCTCCCAAGGCTGCTCGGAACTGTTTGGTGGACAGTGATCTCTCTGTGAAAGTCTCAGACTTTGGAATGACAAGGTAAGCCAGTAATGTCCCCAAACAGCTTTTCTTTCTGATGTTCCCAACTCTAGACCAATGATTTCTAACACATTGTGGGGTACAGCATTCCCATCAGTTGTAGTCAAGGCTCTGATTTCAAGCCAGGTAATCAACTCAACTGGCATAGTGCTCACAGTACAAGTATGAGCTTGGTCTTGAATTCCCAGAGCCCACATCAAATCCAGGCCCTGTAGCATGCACATAACCCCAGCAACTACAGGCAGAGATAGAAGGACCAGCCAGTCTAGCCAATCAGCAAGCTCCAGATTCAGTGGAAGACTATTTCAAAGAATACGTTGGAGAATGGAGAGATGGCACAGGAGTTAAGGACACTTGCTGCTTTTTCAGAGGACTGGAGTTTGATTCCCAGCATCCAGGTCACATGGCTCCCAACTATTTGTAACTCCAGCTCCAGGAGATGCAACATCCTTGTCTGGCTTTGTTGGACAACTGCATGAACACACACACACACACACACACACACACACACACATACACACACACACACACATTGTTTTAAAAGCGAATTTTAGAGTGACTGAGAAAGATATCCAACATTGACCTCTGGCTTCTACATGTACACCTATGAGCACACATATGCATACACTACACACAAACACACACACATACACACAAATTTTGACTGTACTAATTTCTCTAGGTGAGCTTTGTTGTTTTTATTTTATGGCAATTCTGTTGGCAGATATATAGTATACCCTAATATTAGTTACACAAAAGCAGTAAGCAACTGCTGTAAAAGATACTCTTAATTATGTGTATGTGTGTCTGTGTAGGTATGTGAACATGAACACAGATGCCCACAGAGGCCAGAGGAGTGGGAACCTCTTAGAGTTTAAGTTATGTGGGAGTGTGAGCCACCTGATATGGATGCTGGAAATAAAACTCAAGTCCTCTGGAAGAGTAGTACACGCTCTCAATGGCTAAGCCATCTCTCCAATCCAGGCTTTATTTTTGAGTATAGTTAATCATACCCATGAATATATACATTTACTGTTTGATCCCCTCAAAATAGAATTAAATCAGATGTACATGCTTTTGCACATAACCATACACTGTGAACAGATTTTCTTTCTGGGTTTTCAAGATAGGGTTTCTCTTTGTAGTCCTGGCTGTCCTGGAACTTACTATGTAGACCAGGCTGGCCTTGAGCTCAGAGATCTACCTACCTCTGCCTCCTGAGTGCTGTGATTAAAGGCATGCGCCACTACCTCCTGGCCCGTGAGCATATTTTTATTTGGTGAAGTATAGAACTACATCATTTTAGTGATTTCATAGTATTTCTATGTAAAATGTAATTTACATATTCTTCAATATGAGTACACTGAGGTTGTTTCCATTTTATAATCATAATAAAGCATAGGTTTAGTGGAAATCTTTTAATTTTTATTTTTGTTGTTTTTGATTTTTCTATCAAATAGTTTCATCGCTTTTTGTGTTTGAAAATTAAGAACAATTGATACAAACCAATACATTTATTACTCCATTAGAGTGGATGCTGTTCAATCACCAAACATGATGCTGGAGAAGAAAATGTATCCATTGAGGGAAATCCTCCCAACTTGATGCTTAAGAAAAAAAGAAAAGCAAATCTCAAAATAATAGAAACCCAGTTATGTTTAAATTACAAATAGAGAAAAGATACAATCAGGAAGTACAAGGAAAAATGTATCTTGAGTAATAGAATTACCAGGCATCACTGAGGTATAATTCTGAATGATTGTATTTTCACATTTTTGTGGGTTTTAATAGTTACCAAACATTTCACACCCAAGTTCTGCTATGTTTCCTGATTGCTTACATTCACTAAAAGCTAATATGTCACAATGAAAAGAAGTCAAAGAACCAGATATAGAGGCATATATCTACAATCCTAGCATTTGGGAGGTAGAGGCAGAAGATCAGGAATTCATGAAACCTTGCCTCAGGAAGAAAAGAGAGATGGGGAGACTTAAAAAGAAATTAGCTAGAAAACTGAAGTATTCAGCTGACTATGGACACTATATGTGCTTCATCAGCCTGACTGATAGTGGACCATGGAGGAAACAATGGTCAATAGAAGCCTTCCTAGTTTGTCTTAATGTCTGTGGTGATGTTTTCCCTACAGATATGTTCTTGATGACCAGTATGTCAGTTCAGTAGGAACCAAGTTTCCAGTCAAGTGGTCGGCCCCAGAGGTGTTTCACTACTTCAAATACAGCAGCAAATCAGACGTATGGGCATTCGGTAAGGAAGTAACTACATGGCACTGGGCCCCATTACATAAGTCAGCTTCCCCACCAGGAAACCACAAGAACAGCAACGTCCATTTGAAAAAGAACCCTGAATCTTTAAAAAATTATACACTTACTTTGAGACAAGCAGGTGGTTGAAGAAGCCAATTTCCTTCCGTGGGTTCAGGGTTAGGAAGTCTTATGCACTTCCATAGTTTACATCATGCTAGCATCTACTCAAAGAATCAAAGGATTTGGGGAATTTTCCAATGAAACTTTCCAACAGTTTTTGTTTTGCTGTGTTTTTAAACATGATTTTTCTATGTAACCCAGGCTGGTCTCAAACTTATGATCCTCCTAATTGCTTAGCCTCTCAAAATCTAGGATCACAGGTGCACATCCCTTCTTCTAGCCTCAAAGAGCTTCATGAAGGCATCGTTCAAATTTAAATCTCAGTTTATTTGAACCCTCAAAGGTTGGAGTACTTAAATATAAATCACTGTTTATGGGCATGAGTGTAACTATGGTAACTATTCTAATGGGTCCCTTCAGAATGGGCAGAACCTTTGGGCATCCCTAATGTAAACAGCACACTTGACTGTGTGCTTTCTTTGACTTTGTGTAAGTTCTCTTTCCATTAGCGTAAGTAATACCTGGAAGAATCAACTTAGAAAAAGAAATCATTTGTTTTGGCTCATGGTGTTGAAGGTTGAAGGTTCCAGATTGCAATCTGACCCACTGGTTGGTGTCTGTGGTGAGGTGGACAGGGACAGAGCACAGATTGTGGCAGGAGCAAAGCTGCTCCCCTTGTGACCAAGAGGAAGAAGAGAGACTAGAGGAGATGTTGCAGTTTCACTCTCCCCTTCAGGGCATTCTCTGTATGACTGTAAGGCCTCTCAAATTTTCCATGCCTCCCAAAGGCACGAAGCTGAGAATCAAGCCTCCAAACCACAGCAAACGCCTTGTTTCAAGTCATCTCCCCCCTTGCTAAAATTAGCATTTTAGATCCGAGTTTGGGAAACAACAGTCCTGGACCAAACTAGGTGCCCTGTTTCTGTAAATAAAGTTTTATTGGCCACAGACATGCCCATTCATTTCCATGATGTCTGTGGCTGATTTTGTGCTACAATGGAGTAGCAAATGGCACAGATACTAATTGACTCACAGTCTAAGATACTTATCATTGCATATTTATGTAGAAGTTTAATAACCACTATTAAACTCTTTAGAGTTTACTATCTCAAGCTACATGACAAGATACACCTGTAATCTTGGACCTCAGGTGCTGAGGCAGAAGGATTACGAGTTCTAGGCCAGGCTGAGAAACTTAACAAGACCTGTCCCAGAACAACAAAAGGTTGAGTAATTGAGTTGGCAGTTTGGCTCAGAGGCAAAGTATTTCCCTCGAGTGATCAAGGCCCTGAGTTTGATCCCTAGCATTGCAAAAACAGACAAACCAACCAAAACCAAAAGAAGAGAAGCCAAATTCAGCAGAGGTGAAAAAAATTCTTAAGCTGTGATTCTGTCAATTGTCAGAGTTTGGGGTTTTAAAACATGTGTTGATAGAATCATGACTGTTTTCAACAACTGTCTGATGGGGCCAGGATAAGTAAATCAAATTATCACCAAGCGACAAAATACATTAAATATGACCAAGAACCATTTCATGCTTGTTTTACTCCATGAGTGCAATTTGATTTACCACTTAACACATGCTAGACAACTTGGGAGAAGGAAATTTTAGTTAGCAGTTATTTTTCTGTCCCAAATAAATATTAAAAATAAACAATCCCTTTTGAAAAGTATAAAGATCATCAGATGGGCACACAAAAAGGCAAAGGTACATAGATAGTGCTTTTTTGTTAAGTTTGGCTCTTATTGACCAAACCAGTTTCATATCTATGCCTGCTGAATATTATTCTTGAAATCTGTACCGTCATTTAATAGTTACAGCTTGTTTTGAACCAAAAAAGGCATTACCCAACCTGATTATCCACCTCATAAACAACCTAGTTATAGTTGTTTTCTGGCTGTTGACAGACAATAAATATATTCTTAAGTAATTTACTCCTGCTATGGATATTCAAAAGGAATCAGGACATCTGAAAGTCCACCTCAAAGAAGCCTCTCCTTCCCCCAGTTATTTTATGTAGTGGGATAGTGAGCAGCCTTGCCAAAAGAGAGTTGTGAGGGAGTCTCCCTCTCTTGTAGACTGGTTTAGAAGGAAGAGACACCACAATATGGAAGACAGCTTTATTATATTTTACATAAAATCTGTAGCCTACAAGTGAAAGTTTGAGGTTTGACAATTGTCTTCTTTCTGTATATGTGGGTTGTCCAGGGTTGGTTTTGAACTTGTCTGAGTGTTTAAAGCAGTGGTTCTCAACCTGTGGGTTGCACCCCTTGAGGTTGAATGACCCTTTCACTGGGGTCGCATATCAGATATTCTGTATATCAGATATTTACATAATGGTTCATAACAGTAGCAAAATTGAAGCTATGAAGTATCAAAGAAAATACTCTTATGGTTGGGGTCACCACAACACAAGGAACTGTATTAAAGGGTCACAACATTAAGAAGTTTGTGAAGCACTGTTGTAGCACCTTTGTCCTTGGAGAGAATGTCACCATTTAGGTAGCATTTTCAATACCCTGACACTCTTTCAAAATCACTCAGCGTCATATCCTATTTAATCCCCTTGGCAACTCCAGAAGGTGCTGTCTGGTGGGAGAACTGAGGACAGATGTGTTAAGAAATTGACCTGGTTGGCAAGTGGGAAAACTTGCCTTCCAAAGGCCACATTTGAATGATCTCAAATGTCACTCTCTAGCTCATCTTAAACACCCCAATTTGGTGTCATTTCCTGAAGTCAGTAATGTCCTGTATGAGCTGGAGGGCTGTGAACATTCTGAAAGTGGACAGATGGACCATGAGTTCATGTTCCCGAGGCAATAACCTGTAGCTTTTATCAGATTCCCAAATGGTACCTAACTCATGAAAGATAATGACAGACCAACAGCAACAGCAGACTGTGGAATAAGCATCCACTGGTTTTAACTTTATATTTCTACCAAAACATAGCTCAGGTATGCAATGAACTTGTGCACAGCTGCAAAAGCAGAAAGAAAGTAAGGCAAGGACCTCATCACTCAGAAGTGTTGGGTAGTGGCTTAGCACCCAGTTGTCAGTGTGAGGGCTGCATGAGCCCCCAAGTGCTTTTCCAAAGCATCCCATGAACCATGGCCCCAAGCAGCTCCCACTGACTGCTTTTGCCATTCTCTGGTTTTCTAACAAGGCCATGGGGGTGTCTGAAGATATACAGGAACACCTAGACTGTAGAAGTGATAACCAAAGCTCACATTCCCTGCCCTCCTCCTTTCACTAGGCCTTGTTTCCCAGAAATCCTTTGCTCTGGCTCGTGGCCTTCTGATCCTTTAATATGAAGTTCCTTCCACAAGCCCTGGACCTTCTGACACTGGCTCTCTTTCTGTTCTGTCTGCTGGGGCTGCCCCCGGATGCAATACAGGGATCCTGATGTGGGAGGTGTTTAGTCTGGGGAAGCAGCCCTATGACTTGTATGACAACTCCGAAGTGGTTGTGAAGGTCTCCCAGGGCCACAGACTCTACCGGCCCCAGCTGGCATCAGACACCATCTACCAGATCATGTACAGCTGCTGGCATGAGGCAAGTATACCCCCTAAGAAGGCTGGGATAGGAGCGGGTTATTAGGGATGAGAAAAAGTACCTGCTACAGAGAAGTTGAGAATGGTTCTGGATCATGGCACACAGTTATTAAAGAGGCAGGCTGGCTGGTGCCAGTATTCTCACTCTTTTTAAAAAATATGTGGTTGGTTGGTTGGTTGGTTGGTTGGTTTGGTTTGGTTTTTCTAGACAAGGTTTCTCTTTGCAACCCTGGGCTGTCCTGGAACTTACTCTGTAGAGCAGGATATCTTCGAATTCAGGAATCCACCTGCCTCTACTTCCCATGGTGCTGGGATTAAAGGTGTACACCACTATTGCCCAGCTATCTATTTTATTTTTGAGATTATAATATAATTACATTTCCTCTTCCCTTTCTTCCACTCCAAATCTTCCCATATACCCCTTCCTGTTCTCCTTCAAATTCATGGCCTCTTATTTTATTACTGTTATTACATGCATATATGTATACGTATATAATATATAGTCCTAAATATAACCTGTTTAGACATGTAATGTTACTTTACTTATGTTGGAGCTGACTGTTCGGCACTGGGTAACTAATTGGTGTGCTCTTCCCTGGGGAAGGCCACCCCTCCTGCTCCTAGCTTTCCTTGGTTGCCTATAGTTCTTTTTGAAGGTTTGAGGCCTCATTCTTAACAAAACTATAAAATCTCAACTCAAAAAATGCATGACAGTCTGGGCAGTGCTGGTGGACACCTTTAATCCCAGCACTCAGGAGGCAGAGGCAGGCAGATCTCTGTGAGTTCAAGACCAGCCTGATCTACAAGAGCTAGTTCCAGGACAGCCTCCAAAGTCACAGGGAAACCCTGTCTAGAAAAAAAAATGCATGACAGAAACATCTAAGCACATACAGACATCAAATGAAAAGCTGTTTCTTCTTCCTCCTCTTCCTCCTCCTCTTCTTCTCTCCTCCTCCTCCTCCTCCTCCTCCTCCTCCTCCTCCTCCTCCTCCTCCTCCTCCTTGTTCATTGCCCACCCCACCTTCGACTTCCCAAAACACCAAATAACATGAAACTGATGTGGCCTAAAATGGAGGAAATTCCATCGCAAAACTCTTTGATGTTTAAACAACTAGTTGGGTGCTGTGAAGTCTGAGGTTCCACTACTTCCTTCACTGAACCCACAATCTTTTCCACACGTACTGAAAGCATCAACCAGTTTATAATTGTATACCCAAATTAAAAAGATAGAAAGGAGCACAGAGCTCAGAGGAAGGACAGCAGCTTCCTGAATGCATTGGTGTCTGAGCCAAATCAGGAACTGTCTTCAAAATTCTCTTGGTTTGTGAGTAAAGACAGTGCCAAAGCCTGTGCAAATGAGAACAGCGGGAGCCTCCACAGGTGTGGAAAAAGGCAGCGGGCAGCAGACCCGCTGTTCTCAGCTAGAGCTGTTGTTGGGACGGCTGAAAATCAATGTGGAAGTTGAAATCTGGTCGAGTTTCTATACCCCGAAGACAAGGAAGGGGAGAAGGAGAGGGAGGAAGAAGAAAAGAGAGTCTAGTTTTATATTCATTGTGAAGCCATTGAAAAATTTTGAGCAGTATGAAAATGAAGCTTTAAAAAATACTTTTATTTTGTTGTGTTTCTCATATCTAGTATAAACTATAGTCCAAACACACAGTTTTTATGATGTTTATCCAGTTGTTGGAAGCACTGTTTGCTAAAAGACCACCAAGAGATAAGGAGCCACCTTAATGGCATTGAGAGGTCACACTAATATTATTCTAGATTTCCATGCAGAAAAAATATTGATTTATTTGGGGACTTCCTCTTCTGTGGTCTGGTCTTTCTATGCCAGCACGCTATTTTAATTTCATGCTGTTGTACAACAAGTAAAGTATTATGTGATGTTTTAGCATTATGGAGGCTAGAACCCATAAGGTTTATTGTTCTTTATAGCTTCCTAGTCATTTTGTCAAAAATCTCTGAAATAAATTCATCTAGCTTAAAAGAAACCAATTCACATCTTTAAGATTGTATTTCCTTTTTATTTTAACTGGAGACATTCTGCATCTCCATGACACTGACATGTCCTACTGTAGGACAAAGGAAATTTTTTTCTTAACATATGTTCCAATCGACATGTGTATCTTTTTAACTTTCTCCTTATTTGTGTGGGGTGGTGGTGGTCATTTTTAAGGATTTGATCTTGGTATTGTTGCTATTATAAATGATGTCTTCCCTTCCATCATATTTTCTGACTGGTTACTATTAGCTATTTGATTTCATTTGCTGAATTTTTTCTCTGCCCACCTAGCAAAATCCTTTATTGTTCAGGGAGATTTTCCAACATATAATTATGTCCTAGGCAAATAAAGCTAGCTTTCCTTTTCTCATTCTTGGGGCTGGTTTTTGCTTTCTGGGTGCAATTATTAGTAACAATTGTGAGTATAGAAAGCACCCTTGCCTAATGGATGGCACTAGAAGAAACCATCCTGAGTGAGGTAACCCAGTCACAAAAAAACAAACATGGTATCAGTGGAATGTCAGCCTATAATCCCACTGCCAGAGAGTCTGGGAAACAGGGGGGAACCCTAAGAGAGATATCCATGGTACCCCAGAGAAGGATAATGAGGCAAGATCTCCTAAGAAAATTGGGAGCATGGAGGGAGGGGAGAGGGAGCCAGGAAAAAGAGAGGGGAAGAAGAGGAGGGGAGAGGAGGACATGGAGGAACAGGAAAGTTGAGTCGGGGGAAGAATAGAGGAGAGCAAGATGACAGATACCATAATAGAGGGAGTCATGATAGGTTTGAGGAGAGATCTGGCACTAGTGAGATTTCTAGAGATCTACAAGGATGACACCAACTGGCAAACTAAGCAATAGTGGAGAGACTAGCTTAAATGCCCCTCCCTAATAATGAGTTCAACTACTTCCTTATATGCCATCCTAGAACCTTCAACCAATGACTGATGAAAGCAGAGGCAGATACCCACAGCTAAACACTGAACTGAATTTCTGAAACCCAGTGACAGAGAGGGAGGACTGATGAGCAAAGGGGTCAAGACTGGGCTTGTTTAACCCACAGAAACAGCTGACCTGAACAAGGGGAAGCTCTTGGACCCCAGACTGATTGCTGGGAGGCCAGCATGGGACTGATTCAGACCCCCTGAATGTGGGTGTCAGTGAGGAGGCCTAGGCAATCTTTGAGTCCTTGGGTGGTAGGTCAGTATTTATCCCTGGTATACAAATGAGGGATGCACTCTCACCCTGGACTCTTGTGGGAGGGCCTAGGTCCTGCCCTGAATGAAATGACAGACTCTGGAGATCCCCCCCATGGAGGGCCTCACCCTCCATGGAGAACGGAGTGGAAATTGGGGAGAGGGACTAGGGGGTTATTGGGGGGGGCGTGGGGGGAGGGAGAGGGAGCTGGGGTTGACATGTGAAGCGACCTTTTTTCTAATTTAAATAAAAAAATCTTAAAAAAATGAGAAAAAAAACACCAAAAAGGGGCCATAAATTTGAGAGGGGGAAACATCAATAATTGGAGGGAAGAGGATGAAAATGATGTAAATGAAGTAGTAAATATATGATGGTCTCAAAAAAATTAATAGGTCCAAAACAAAAACCTCCTTGAATGATAAAGCAGGATTTGATTTTGTTTTCCACTGCCTTTGCTTGTTTGTTTATTTTAATCAAGGATGTTTGAGATGCTATATATTTATGTTGTGTTTTCCATAGTGAAAAATAAATCAAGTGTAACATAGATACCAAAAACAAACAAACAACAAAAAAGAAAGCACCCTTGCCTTATTGCAAATCTCAGTAGAAAGGTCTATGGTGTTCCCACATTTCTGAAGTCACTCTCAGTGAGTGTGGTACACATGCCTTGGATCCTAGCAATTAAGAGGAAGAGGCAGAGCAAATCTCTGTGAGTTTGAGGTCAGCCTAGTCTACAAAGCAAGTTCCAGGCCATATAGGGCTACTTCATGAGACCCTCTCTCAAATGAAATAGAGTGTCACTCATATTTGGACTGCTTTATGATGTTTGTGTGTGTGTGTGTGTGTGTGTGTGTGTGTGTGTGTGTGTGTGTGGTGTGTAGTGTGTTTGTGTTTGGGAGTGTAGGAATACTGGTGCCATGGTGAGTTTGTGTCTGGTGTCAGTCCTTACCTTCCCCATTGCTTGATACAGAATCTCTTGTTTGCTGTTGTGTATACCAAGCTAGTTGACCTGTGATTTTTCCAGGCATTCTCCTGTCTTCACCTCCCACACAAGGGTTGGGATGGGCTCATGTCACACATCTGGGTTTTATGTGGTTCTAAAGACTGGAACTTGCAGGGCAAATGCTTTTACCCACCGATTTATCCCTCAGCCCTACGGTGTTGTTTTTCCTTTAAATTTTTGAGTCATGGCCTCATGTAGCCCAGGCTGGCCTCAAACTTGCTGTATAGATGAGGAAGACTTTGACCATTTGGTCTTCCTGCCTCTTCCTCCTAAATCCTGGGTTTACACAGGCGTGCCACCACACCTGATTAACGTGGTGCAGGGAACTGAAGCCAGGGTATTGAGAATTCTAGGCAAGCACTTTACCAACTGAGTCACACCCCCAGCCTCTATACTGTCCTTTTGAATTACAGCTTTCATCATCTAACACATTGGGGTTTTCTTTTATTTAGCTTCCAGAAAAACGCCCCACATTTCAGCAACTCCTATCTGCCATAGAACCACTTCGGGAACAAGATAAGCCATGAAGAAAAAAAAAACTTGGAATATTGATGGGGAATGAATCTAAACATTGACCAACACTCTCATTATTTTAAAGGGAAGTAGAAAGACACAATGTAATTTAGCTAGTTTTTAATAATGTCTTACATGTTGTTTACCTGTTATATTATCTGCAAAACAACAAGGTAGGAAACAAGACATTTCTTTAAAATTTAGGTCAAATTGTTAATTTTGTTTGTGCTGCTCTTAGTGTACTACTTCCCAGCCTATGGCAGAAATTCATTTTTAGATTGCAATTTATGAAGGGTGTGTACTGTCTGTAAAGATGGAGCAGAACTGAAAAGATGATTTGTTGAGAATTCACTTTTTTCTGTTGGCACTAGTGTGATAATTAAATATCCTTTCCAGAAGAGAAATGTGTGTATGTTTGCCTCTGTATGAGAAATGTCTTGGGCATTTGAATACTTGGTTCCCAGTTTGTGGCATTGTTTGGGGGAAGTTTAGGATGAGTGGCCTTGATGGGGAATTATGTCAGTGGGTGCAGCTTTACTTGTAGTTTACTCTCTCTGCTTCTTGCTTACAGTTCAAGATATGAGCTCTAAAAAGCTGAAGAGATTGCTCAGTGGTTAAGAGCACTGGCTGTTCTTCTAGAGGAACTGGGTTCAATTCCCAGCAACCACATGGTGGCTTACAGCCATCTGTAACTCCAGTTCTAGGGTATCTGATACCCTCTCCTGGCCTTCATGGGTACCAGGTACACATGTGACACACCAACGTGTATGCAGGCAAAACACCTATACACATTTAAAAAACATCAAGGATATGAGTTCTCAGCATCCTGCTCTACCTACTGTCCTGTAAGCTGTCTCTGTCCTGCCATTAGAATTGTAAGCCAAAATAAAGTTTTTCTTCTCTAAGTTACCTTGGTCATAGTCTTTTATTACAGAACAGAAAAGCAACTAATTCAATATATAAATGATCTCAACATTAAACATGAGAGTCAAATGGAGAGTTGATCAAAACACAGATTCCTAGGAACCACCTTAGAAATTTCAATAAAGCAGGTCTGAGTGCAACCTGTGAGTTGATATTTTTCCCAAGCTTCCATGCATGCTGAACTTCCCTGGGGTACCTCAGTATGTGGCAGGGCACTGATATAGGATCTATAACTCCATCTAACCGATACAATTTCTCCTCAAGACTAAAACAATGGTACTTCATGTCATCACGTACAGTGATATATAATACTACTATTGAACAATGTGTTCCATGTGTCACCCTGAGTACAGTTTATTATGAACAATGCTCTGGTAAAAATTTAATGCCTTCTTTTTCTCACATTAACCTCCACTATTACCCATCACCACTCAATGAGACAGTGGTCTTACTAGAATTAAGACTTTCTAATGATGTTGTATATTTAAGTTGGGGGCTTTGGGGATTTTGGCTCATTTGAAAGATAATTGAAGTTTCTACTTCTATCTTACATCTTAACACAGATACAAAATAGTGTTTTAAATTTTTATTTTCTGAGTATGTATGTGCACCATATGTGTGTAGTACCAATGGAGGCCAGAAGAGGGAGTTCAGTTATCTAGAATCACAGTTACAGATGGTTGTGAGCCACCATAGGAGTGCTGTGAATCAAATCTCAGTCCTCTAGATGAGCAGCCAGTGCTCTTAACCACTGATATTCTTACTTTTATTCGTATCACCCATTTTTTCCTATAAGTGAGCTCAAATGTCTCTCATGTTTATTTGTTTCTTGACATTTACTTAATGATTTTGTTATTTCCGCAGAGAATTGACAGGATAATGGTATTCTATTTTTAATGGAGGCATACAAATTTCAATGCATAATCAATGGATAATGAAATGTCGCTTTTAAAATAACCACTAGGACATTTATACATTCATTCCCTTTTACTGTTTTCTGAGTGCCAGGTTCCTTCCTACTCAAGGGATAAAATACGATCAAGTGATAGAACCTTCCTTCTCAACCTGCCCAGGCAGTGGTTCCTGGTCTCTGGGGTTTTGTCCAGCAGGAACCTGTACCACAGGCTCTTTTTTAAAATGTAAGATTATTTTATTTTATGTGTATGTGTACCATGTGCATGTCTGGTGCCCATGGAGGCCAGAAGAGGGTACTGGATCCCCTGGAACCAGTGTTACAAATAGTTAGAATCTGCCATTGGGATGGTGATAACTGAACTCAGGTCTTCTTCAAGAGCTTCAAATGCACTTAACCACTAAGCCATCGCTCCAGCTCCTGTTCCACAGATTCTTAATCTTTATTTCTGCCTCTCTCAAGATTATCTCATTGTTGCCTTTAGTTTTACATGTGTGATTTTTCTAAAAGTCATCTGTTTGTAAACAGTAACACACTGTTAAAGATGCAGACAATACAGATACAGAATTATGTGCTATGAAGTGAAACCAAAGCCATGCTTAGAAGCTTGATTTCAAAACTCATGTCAAGAATTTAAGTCACTGCTAGAGATCTGTGAGAAAATCAGTACACTTATGACAGCCAGAGCCAGAGGAAGAATATTTGTGCTATTTTAAAACATGCATAATGTTTTTAAAATGCTGCTTACGTGTCTTTTGCAGCAATTACTTTTATACTCTTCTACCTGCAGTCTAAGTACACTCTCTGAGAAGCAACAAAAAGGAAGATTATGTGATAGGAAACATTCCCAAATGGCAAGTTGGAGAGGAATTCCAATACAGTCTTTGCTAGGTGGGCTCCAGTAGCCTCGCTAAGCTGTTTCTGATATGTCAAAAGTAAGACACAAGTCTAAGGGTCTAGAAAATTTGTATTATATGTGCTGGAGCTAATAAAGAAAGATTCCAATATGGTAGTTTCCCAGGTTCACTTCTGACTTGGGAGTGAGTATACAAGGAAGACAGGCTGAACCTAAGACCTTACCTTTTGAAAAATATTTTGAGATTATAATTGCATCATTTTGCCTTCCCTTTCTTCCCTTCAGACCCTCCCATGTACCTCCCTTGCTTCATAGCAATTTTTCTTTGTTGTTGTGGTTGTGTTCCTAAATATACAAATACAACCTACTCAGTCTGTATAATTTGGCTTGTATATATGTTCTCCAGGTTGACCATTTGGTATTGGATAACTAGATGGTGTGGTCATCTGTGGGGAAGACTATTTCTTCTGCTCTCAGAGTTCCTCGGTCATTTATAGCTCCTTTTCTAGGGCTGAAGCTTCACAAGCTTTCTCCCTTCCGTGTTAGCAGTGGTGGTGCCCTTGTTCAGGTCATGTTTGGGCAGCCATGTTGGTGAGACTTTATGAGTTTATCTTCTGACCTTTCTCACAGACCTACACACAGTCTCACAGAAAACTCTCTGTTCCTCTGGCCCTTCCAAGTTTTTGTCCCCCTCTTCTGCAACTATCCCTAAGTCCAAGACCCTGTCTTTGCCTAAATAGGAACAAGTGGATTTCAAATGAGGGAGAGTAAGTCATCGAGAAACACCAGGCAAGAGCAAACTGGCAGCTGCTCTTTCTGACCCAATTACTCTTTTATCAACTCCACTGCCTATTAAATAATTAAATTCCCAGGAAAGAAACACATAAGATTCCATAAACAAATGTCCTTTGGATCTCTGAACTCCAATTGCTCTTTTACATATCCATCCTTGCTTCCTTATAGCCCATGGGTCAGCAATGTTTGCCTGCAAAAACCTTTATGGGCCAGAGCATCTCTAAGTCAACTCCTCAGTTCAGCTTTGTAGCACAAAAGCAGCCCTACATAATATGAAAATTGATGGGCATGGCTGTGTACCAATAAAGCTTCATTTATGGGCAATGAAATTTGAATTTCATATCATCTTTGTGTGCCATTAAATATTATTCAACTTTTCTCTCAACAACTAAAATATGTAATACTCAGGGGGATGGACATAGCAGTTTGTCAACCCTTATCTTATGTCCCAGTACAGGACCACCTTTGTACAGCCTCTATCCTCTCAGAGGATGCTACTGTATAGGAGAAGGACCACAAGATTTACCTGGAGGGCAAAATGAGGACTGGCCTGGGGAAAATTCAGTTGGGGTGAGAGCAGTTTTTCTAATTTCCATGTTACAACTGGAGATTGTGTCATGTGCCCATGGATCCTTTACTATGAATGGAGAGACTTTTGAATGTGTTGGGTGATGGAATTGGTTCTTATCAAGGTTATTTTTGCACAGTGTTCCACTAAGAGACAGACTGAGAACTTCATAAAGTAAATGTGGCAATTACAGAGGATGTTTAGATAATAGCTTGCAGAAGATCTTCTTGTATTAGAGAAGACAGGACATAGACAAGATAAAAGGGTGTCAATGAAATGAGAATGTAAATGAAGGGGAAATGCGATTCTTGGTTGCCCCAGAAGCAAGACAGTAAGGCAGATGATGATATGGCAGCTTCACTGGAGGGGTCATGGCTGTCATACAAAGACACTCTGTCTTTGCCACCTGTGTATTATATAAATGCAAAGATACTAAATAGTTTTAAGTGACTCAGCCTGATTTTGATGAATTGGTGGCCCACCATTACCTTGATCACATCAAGTTTATTAAGTACAAAGTCACTCTTAACATTATGCTGGTCTCCATATAGTATGTTGGACATGTTAATTTATTTAATATAATTTTAATCAAAGTTCAGGTACATGGTATTGTTATATTAAAAATGGTAGGTTTTTGGTTCCCAACCTGATAATGTATACAATCTGACCACAAATCTTTTGAACTGATTTTATAAATTCTTGGTCCAAGATGACAACTCTGTCCATAAAATGAAAGCCAGAAATAACAGACACATAACACAGAAGAGCAGAGGAGTGTACAATTCTAGCAAGTATTTATTGAGGTCTGCTTTGTGCTCATCATTGCTCAGACCCTGTGAGAAAATACAAAATATTTTAGAGACAGGGCACCCACTTCACAGGTGAGCATTCAGCCGGAATTTTCCTTTACTGCACAGTTAGAGAGCAATGGAAACAAGTTTCTATCTGTATGCTCTGGGCTCATGGAGTTCCCTGTACTAGATGTGTATTGCTAGGGAGATGTTGATCAAGCAGTTTGAGAGAGAAAAGGTGTTCTCTACCTGAAGTTTGGCTTCTGTTTCCTTTGAAGCTGAACCACCAAAGAAAGAACAGTCCATTTCAAGTATTACTGTGAACAAATTACTACAGTACTTGAAGTAAGTTAATGCAAAGCCATAGAGCATGACACCAGGTCACATCAAAGATTCCATACCAAACCCAACACTTGCTCCCAAGATACATCATTTCATCTTCCAACTCCAGTTACCCAACAGTGTCTCCATTTGCAGTATCTCTGGGCAGACTGGGAGGCCAAAGACATGTTTCCCTCTTTTACCCTAATATAAACATCTCTATTAATAAACAGAAGAGATGTCAAGTCCTAAGGCAGAAATAAATACTGAAAGCAATGTCAGTGAAGATGCCCACTCAAGTCAGATGCTCTTTGGACAACTTTTACTGAACAGATCATAGTTTTGATATCTAATGCCATGTATATAATCTCATATTTTGTGTACTATAACACTAACAATTACATATAGTAAAATGACTCTAAAATGAAGTCTGAGCATCATCATTGCTTAGGAAACCTGCGTTACTTTCTCCTTTACCAATGTCCACAGAGTCATAAGGATTTTCTTCTCTTTTTGTTTCATTTTTCCTGTTAAGTAAGAAAACAAAGTCACCATTAAAAAGTTATCTTAGAAAGACACTTATACTGACCAAATGGGTGAATAATCAAAAAATTTTATGGCACCCTATGCTAAGGATACTGATTTGGAGAAAAAGGAGCTCTCATAAACTGGTGCTATGTGTATACATGATTTCTTCATCTATGAGGGCAGTTCAGATGTACTGATTAAAATTAGAA